GTGTCAATGAGTCAACAACAACAAAAACAAACAAAAAGAGTGTTGAATTAAATATTTATCACTTTTCTTCAAGTTATTTCGATCACTACTACACTGCTCTGGCGATTGTTCGAGCACTTTAACTTCGATTTCAACGCTTCTCGTAGTTTTGCACTCATGACTATATAGATCATAAAGTTTGATGCACAACCAAAAACCATGGACAGTTTTAGAATTTCAGTTAGGAGTTTTAAATGATTTAAACTAATGTCAATATGTCCCCAAATAATGTTTAGTCTGTAATTCATTGGTTCACTGTACGGAGAAGACCCTAGTATCAGAAAGGGAAGGTTTGAAACAAGTTCCTCAAATTTTGCAGTATATAAGCAGTCAGAGTTTAGAGAAATATTGAAAAACACGTCCATAAATATGTCTTCACGTACGCCATTACAGTATAAAGTTATGGAAGTCCTTGTCATTAGCTGTTTTATCATAGTATCTTGTGAAGACGCGATCTTCTCAAATGCCTCGTACAGCTGGGCATACTGATTCGCTGGCATTATGTTTTTCATATTCAAAAAGAAATCAAAACTCTTTAAGTTCAAAAGTTTACTAGCATATAAATCTGTATTCCTTCTCAGTTTTGAAGGTGATTTAAAAATTAAATTTTGTAATTGAAACTTTCCTACAGAAACATTCGCTATGAAATCAGTGACCCATCTCCAATCTGTTGGAAGTTCGTCGAGTCCAGATATACAGGTCCAATCTTTTGTAACTTTCTTGTTCTCTCTTTCCTGTGCTTCGTTAATAAGATTTCCTGACAGACCCTTACCACATGACAACGACTGGCGGTAAATTTCTGTTCTAACTTTGTTCAAAGCAATATTTTCTTTGTCCAGGTCTGATCGATATGTATTAAATAATGATACATTGATGTACAATCTAGGAACTTCTGAGAGTAGAAAAACTACCATTACACAAAGAGTCAGTATAAAGGACCTCTTTGTAGACATTGAAACGCGTCGGGAAGTATTTCCAGTCCGCTTCAGTCGGTACAGTGTGACACTTATACATAACGTGGAGAACAACATTGCTATTACAGCAACAATTAAAATGCTTGTGAACAGAATTGGATAAAATGTCAGAACATACTTTTGTATATATCCGTTAGGTTCCGATACCACGCATGCATCTCCTTTTCCTGATGTTAAAGTGACAACGAACAATTTTGGAACATTTATAATGATAGAAACAATAAAAAATATAGCACAAACTACCCCAGCTTTTCTTTCATCAAGTTTCGCTATATTGGTCCTGTGTCGTATTAGACACACCATTAGTTTTTGTAGACCAAGACAAGTTGTCAACAATATAGACACGAGATGGAACATGTCTGAAAGACCGGATAAACAGTAATGCATCAAACAATATGGAAACTTTAATCCAACTAGCTGTTTTGTCTCTTCTATAGAAACACGAAGTTCGTTTGTTATCTGATATAAGATATTGCCTGTGCCAGAAATCCCAATGTCCTTATAATGTTGTGAAAATAAAGGCTCAAAGCCATAAGTACACAACGCGGTTAAGGCATCCGCCACTGCAAGTCCCTGCATAATTACAGTAGTAGGTGTACGTACCCTTCTATCAAATAATGTCACAAAGATTATGGTGTTCATAACTATTGATAGATAAGAAACTGTTGGTCCAGCTACAATATTCATCCAATACGGACTTCGAGCATAAAGTGTAAAAAACATTTGGAGATTCTACAACTAATAAACAACATTAAAGGTTAGCATGGTTAGATCACTTAAATTTCGTTTCAAGTAGGTATGTCCTGAATAGGGATCATCTCAGAAGTTGTAATCAGATCTGAATCTTGGGATTACTCATTATTTAGGATGTAAAGGCACGCCCCTGCAAAAAAAATGTATTTTGGATTAGATGCCACTCACTTGATTACTTATTTACTTATGTGTATGGTAATTGGAAACATGGGGTATACGTCAGTGAGGCAGTACCTATCGTTGATTTTTGATTAACATGCATGGCTTAAAAATAATTGACAACACCACAGCACATTCTCTCGGATCCGCCCTTTAAAGTGTATGTCTGTCGGTCTGTTAACAAGTTATTCAATAATTCGGGAAACGAATCTGACCTATACCGTTATGTTTGAATATCTAACTTTAAAATGATATTAGAAATGTACTTCATGGAAGTGAGTCATTTCATTTGAGAGGTTTAATTTCTTCCTTGTCACACTTCTAATTGTCATTATTTGCTTCCGTCAATTAAAAATGATCGTTAAATTCAAGTTGAATAATCTTGTTTGATTTAAAATATATTCTGAATTATCCTTTTTTCAATTAATAAATCGCACAAAAATCTAACATGAGTATGAATGCTTTTAAAGTTACTATTCAAAGCATATATAACAAAAGTACTGCCGTACTGTTTACTCGGATGAACCCGCGATCTGGTGGCTGGCGAATAAATCATACAGATTTCCATCTCCGTGTAGACTTCTAGAAAGAAAAAAAACTGTCCGTTCCTTTCTCAAGAAGAGTGTCAAACATTTCAGCCACATCGTCACATCAGACAATTGTCCCCTTAGAGTTAACAAAAACAAAAGATAACCCTCCCCTTTTGCATAATTTCACAAAGAAATTGCAAAGTTCACTTCTAGCTGGGAACAGTATATCTAACGGGAAATGAATCTGATACGCTTTTCAGTATAAAATTGATAAAATCTCGGACTCCCCGAGATTTACGGATTTTGGTAGCGTCTGACTGAAAAACTATCAGAACTGCTCAACAAATAAACCACATAACTCTAATTGTAAATAAATACAAGTTTTATCATTTAGTAGATATATTTTGTCATATAAAATTACCAAAATAAGTTTGATTTATTTGATGTGAAGTGTTTTATAATAGTTTGGGAATTTGTAAATCATCGCGGCAATGGCCGCCATTTTTTTATTACCTGGTTTGCATTCTGCACAATTCTGTGATAAAATGCTTGCGATTTTAACAAATTTGAAGTGACAGAATACAAGTTTGATACACTAGCATCACTATAAAACTAGTTTGAATGACATTATATATGTTCCTGCTTCTAGTCATTTGCAGAAAATTTGACGAAAATCAAAATCGTGATAATATGCTCAGACATACTTTAATATGTAAAAACTACCTGCATCATAAAAAGCAATCTAATTAAAAACCGATCTCTCATCGCTCCAACGCGACATATCAGAAAACGGAAGCGATGAGAAATCGGTTTTCAATTATATATGACTATAAGCTGTATTGCTTTTTGGAAAAAAAAAGTATCAGTAATTAGATTGCATAAAAAGATTCTTACTTAAAAACTGTTGGAGTAGTTAGCCGGACAATAATTTCACCAAAAATGACATCATTTTTACTCAAGGAAATTTCAAACAGTAACGTTGTGTCTGAATGAAACTATTGAGTTTGACTGATCCTTTGGTATCTTTCGTCCCTCTTTTGATGCATATGCAATAGTCATGATTATTCCAGTATGTATACATATATAGATATAAGAAGATGTGATATGAGTGCCAATGAGACAACTCTCCATCCAAGTCAAAATTTATAAAAGTAAACCATTATAGGTCAAACTAGACAAAATACGGTCTTCAACACGAAGCCTTGGCTCACACAGAACAGCAAGCTATAAAGGGCCCCAAAAATAACTAGTGTTGTAATATATATATTGTTCTATATATATAGAGAACAATTTATTTTTGTTGTTCTTTTCAATCTTAAAAAAGTTTGACAAGAATCAAAATTCTGACTATATTCACAGCCTTTGTACATGTGAAAATACACTGCACGATAAAAAGGATCTAATTCAAAAAATATAACCCCTCACCCTTTAGGTATAAGTTTTTCATATATTTCAATCCTGTTTCTTAAGATTCGAAAAAAAATGTCTTTAACTTTAAGTTAATTCTGCTGTTATGATATAACCATCTTTGCTGAATATTTGCTACAATTTTAGTTAATTGTCGGTTAGTGACATATGGTTGTCGTATACCTTATTGTAGTGTCAACTATTTTTTGTTTAACAACAATCGGATTCAAAATCGGGATTGGTTTCCATTTTCTAGTGCGACCAAATATTTTTGTGTACATTAGTGCACTTCCGTTTTAAAATTTTGTTGAAGAACGGCAAGGTAGAAAAGAAATTCCACACATTGACAGCCGCAATATTTAGTTTAAAAATGAAAAAAAAACTTATCCAACTGATACATTCTTACATACACGTATCAAATTGAAAATGATTACTTATCCAGCTGATACATTCTTACATACACGTATCAAATTGAAAATGATTGCTGCCAAATAGGACATATTTATCAACAGTGAAATTTTACGTTGTCGAATTCGTGGATTTCCCGGACTGGGACCACTTTAAATTCATACTCAGTCATAGTCCTAATTTCGATATATCCGCGTCTCATATGGGTTTTCATGCTACATGTATTTAGCAGAGTTGGCAAACACCCGGGTTTTATCAGCTGTTTATGAGTATTGCCCAGCCCAGTGGAAAATACTGGGAAAACCCGGGTTTTACTGGGGTTTACCGGGTAATTCTGGGCAATACTGGGTAATATAAAATACTGCCTGGCCTGAATTTTAAAGAGGATCCAGTGATCAAACACAAATGCAATACATTTAAGATATTAATGTATATATTTAGCTAAAATACTATGAAACTACAAGTACAACAAGTCTTTACTATTTTGTGTTGAAATAAGCTTACAAAATCATATTGCCCAGTATTACCCGTTTCTGGGAGTATTGCCCAGCCCGGTAAAACCGAGACCTGGGTTTTTCCTGGGCGGTTAATACTTGGCCAACCCTGCTATTAAGAATGCATTGTGACGTCATAATTTCCATTGAAAAAGCATGCATAGTACAAATTCATATGATCTGACGATACTCTTGAGCTTATAGTTTGTAAAATTTTGATTCATACTCTACTTACGAAGACAAAACCTCCTTTCAAAATGTTCCCATGAGTTGGAAATGAAGCGGATGGACGGTCAGATCATAAATAATCTATGACCAACTTAGCACAAATAATTATGAGGTGTGACGCCTTCAACGTTCTTCAGCAAAACATTAATATTTGTTCATTCCATGGCACATTGCAGTTGACATAAATATCAGGCGTCCATCCATCTGGTCTTGTTAGGGTTCTCACAAGGACTTGTGCCTTTTTAGAAATATTAATTCTTAGAAATTTCATTGTAATGGGTCTCAAGTATAGCAACAGTGGTTCAAACAAGTTTCAAAAATCAGTACTGATTAACTATTTAAAAAGATTTATGTCTTTGAAAAACAATGTATTAATTTTCTATCATAAAATGGCATTGTAAGTGCTCTCAAGTCTACATTTCATGTAGGTGTGTTATGAAATTTATATCAAAGTTTTCTATTGGCAATGGCTTAGCTGAGTTCTAAAATCAGTGCTGATCTATTGATTTTACAGGAGAAATGTCTCTTTGAAATGTTATTTATATTGAACATTGCATTGTATTAGAACTCTCATACCTACATTTCTTTGACAATTTTTTTGGAAGTTTGTATCATAGGCTTATACATGTAACATAATTAGTAAGGTCTTGGAAGAATGTTGACCAATTATTTTGCAGTAGTTATTCTCCTTGAAAATAGAAATTATATGGAAATATCATTGTTAATGATCGCATACCTACATTTCTTATTAAAAACTTGAAAGACAAAATAATATTTTTGAGTTATTGCCCTTGGACAGATAAAAATATGTGCAACAAGGGGGACATAGGAACACTGTACTTTTATTCAACCATGTCTACTTGTGAAAATCGTATAAATAAATCTCTTGTGAAAATTAGTTAGTTTACAGTGAGCATCAAACATGTACTGCTACAATGTAGAGTGGAAGTTTATATAGGTTTTGACCTTGTTTTCTTATTCTACATGTACTTAAGGAATACTAAGATATGTAGTCACTGACCGCTGAAAAAAATTTATATACAGGATATGAAAATTTTTGGACTTTGAAAGTGGTTAATATTTTTGTAAAACCAATTATTTCAGAATTCAAGGAACATGAATGAACCTTAATAATGGATGTCATTGCTGTAATTTTTTTAATATAAGGACTGAGAAAAATACTGCATAAACTTACATTGTTTAAAGAAGAATCTATTTACACTTAGGTTCTATTTGAGGAATATTTTGTAACTATTATTATATTTACTTTTTTTTTACTTCTTAGGAAAAAGATGCTAAAATGAGTTTTATGATTCAAGATTCACCAACTTCAAGGTATAACCAACAAAATCGTCCAGGAAGTGCCAGAAGACGACCTGGGAGCTCTATCAATCCTATAACAGTAAGTTGAACGTGAATTTTTACCAGTAATATTGATTAGAAATGATTACGGTTAACTTTAAATGTAGTTTTTGATTGCCCCCCCCTTGGTATTTTTTCTCTCTTATTTTTTTATCCACATCTTTAGATGAGTTTTTATACGACCGCAAAAATTTTTGCGGTCCTATATTGGTATGACGTTGTCGTCGTCGTCGTCCGGCGTCGTCCGAAGACACATTGGTTTTCGCACTCTAACTTTAGTTTAAGTGAATGAATCTCAATGAAATTTTACCATAAGGTTCAATACCACAAAAGGAAGGTTGGGATTGATTTTGGGGGTTATGGTACCAACAGTTAAGGAATTAGGGGCCAAAAAGGGGCCAAAAATAAGCATTTTTGTAACTTCCAGACATAACTTGTGTGTTAGTGTATGAATCTCTCTGACATTGTACCACAAGGTTCCATATCACACAGGGAATGCTGGGATTGATTTTGGGGGTAATTGCCTCAAAATATTAGGAATTAGGGGCAAAAAACAAGCATTTTTCCAGTTTCATGACAATAACTTGTGTGTAAGTGTATGGATCTTTCTGAAATTGTACTACAAGGTTCCATATCACAAAGGGAAAGCTGGAATTGAGTTTGGGGGTAATTGCCCAAAACGTTTAGGAATAAGGGGCCAAAAAGGGTCCAAAAATAATAATTTTTCTAGTTTCCAGACAATAACTTGTGTTCAAGTGTATGGATCTCTGTGAAATTGTACCACAAGTATCCATATCACACAGGGAATGCTGGGATTGATTTTGGGGGTAATTGCCTCAAAATATTAGGAATTAGGGGCCAAAAAAGGGACAAAAAACAAGCATTTTTCCAGTTTCATGACAATAACTTGTGTGTAAGTGTATGGATCTTTCTGAAATTGTACTACAAGGTTCCATATCACAAAGGGAAAGCTGGAATTGAGTTTGGGTGTAATTGCCCAAAACGTTTAGGAATAAGGGGCTAAAAAGGGTCCAAAAATAAGCATTTTTCTAGTTTCCAGACAATAACTTGTGTTCAAGTGTATGGATCTCTCTGAAATTGTACTGCAAGGTACCATACCACAAAGGGAAGGCTGGGATTGATTTTGGGGGTAATTGCCTAATCTAACCGTGTATTTAGATTCTTAATTTTTGGTCCTGTTTTCAAATTGGTCTACATTAAGGTCCAAGGGTCCAAAATTAAACTTAGTTTGATTTTAACAAAAATTGAATTCTTGGGGTTCTTTGATATGCTGAATCTAAACATGTACTTAGTTTTTTTATTATGGGCCCAGTATTCAAGTTGGTCCAAATCGGGGTCCAAAATTAAACTTTGTTTGATTTCAACAAAAATTGAATATAAGGGGTTCTTCGATATGCTGAATCTAACCATATATTTAGATTTTTGATATTTGGGCCCGGTTATCAAATTGGTTCACATTGAGGTTTAAAGGGTCCAAAATTGAACTTTATTTGATTTCATCAAAAATTGAATTCTTGGGGTTCTTTGATATGCTGAATCTAACCATGGATTTTGATTTTGGATATTGGAATACCACAAAGGGATGGTAAGAATTGTCTTTGGGAGTTATGGCTCAAACCGTTAAGGAATAAGGTGCAAAAAAGGGGGGGAAAAGGGTTTCCAGGTTAATGGACAATTACTTAAGTACAAAACATAATTTAAAAGGCAGTGTAAGGTTGGTAATTGAAACTCATTTGAATATCTCACCTAAACTGCTTTTAAATTATGTATATTGGAAATTTGCCAAAAACTTTATTATTAATAAATTCCATTGGAAATTTGCCAAGTACTTTAGTTTAATGAACTTCATTGGAAATTTGCCAATATAAAATGTTGCTGATGGAGCTTTTTTGTTTATCTCACCTAAACTGCTTTTAAATTATGTATATTGGAAATTTGCCAAAAACTTTATTATTAATAAATTCCATTGGAAATTTGCCAATAACTTTAGTTTAATGAACTTCATTGGAAATTTGCCAAAAACTTTATTTTTAATAAATTTCATTGGAAATTTGCCAATAACTTTAGTTTAATAAACTTCATTGCATTTTTTCTAGTTTCCAGACAATAACTTGTGTGTAAGTGTATGGATCTCTCTAAAATTGTACTGGGGGGGATTTTTTCCCCCAATTTTTTGGGGTTCATATTTTTTTTCTTCAAAGTTTTTGTAATCTTCAATTGCACAGTATTGCGCAATAACAAGAAATCTCCAATTGCACAGTATTGCGCAATTTCACAGTATTGGGCAATAGCAAGAAATCTTCAATTGCATAGTATTGCGCAAAAGCAAGAAATCTTTAATTGCACAGTATTGCGCAACAACACAGTATTGCGCAATAGCACAGTATTGCACAATAGCACAGTATTGCGCAATAGCAAGAAATCTTCAATTACACAGTATTGCGCAATAGCAAGAAATCTTCAATTGCACAGTATTGTGCAATAGCAAGAAATCGTCAATTGAAAATAAATACAAATCTTTTAACCAATTTCAATGGGATTCATTTAAAATCTTTAATTTTTGGGGGTTCTTACCTTGTATTACTTTTTTGGATATTGGGCCCCATTTTTAAATTGGTCTACATTGAGGTCAAAAGGGTCCAAAATTAAACTTTGTTTGATTTCATCAAAAACTGAATGATATGCTGAATCTTATTGTGTATTTAGATTTTTTATATTGGGCCCTGTTTTCAAATTAGTCCATATTAAGGTTTGAAGGGTCCAAAATTAAACTTTTGATTGATTTCAACTAAAATTAAATTTTTTGGTGTTTTTTTATATGCTGAATCTAACCATGTTGTTAGATTTTGGATATCAGACCATTCTAGGTAAAATGAATGTCCCATTTCAAATTTTTAAGCTCTTTGACCACATTTATTTTGTGTCAGAAACCTATATTATGTCAAAAATTTGATCACAATCCAAATTCAGACAGTATCAAGCTTGAATATTGTGTCCAAACTTGCCCCAACTGGTCAAGGTTCGACCTCTGCGGTCGTATCAGGCTGCGCTCTGCGAAGCATTTTATTACCTTTAAATTTATTAGTTTCATATTTTTATCAAAATTCATCATATGAGTTTCAATATTTCTAGGGAGAAGAAACACCTGTATACAGACCACCATCTAGACCACAATCAAGACCACCAACAAGACCGTTCAGTCTAAGACCGGAAGGGTAAAATTTTTTATTTTATTTAGACAGTTTATTGTGAAGACAAAAAATGTGGAGTGCAATTATATAAAGTAACAAGCAGTAATCACTAAATAAAATTATGTACATGTATGATATAAAATGAGATTAAGGTTTCGTGTGAGTATGCTATACTGTGTGATGTTTTCGCTATTCATTGCTTTTCAAGTTCCTGTTTTCCTAATATCTAAAGTAGTGGTTTCATTAGTGAACTATAGCTCACAGTTCTTCTTGTTTTATTTCCAATTGAAGTGGCTGTAATATGAAGATGCTTTTGAGTTTAAGTATTATTTTCTAACTCAAGGTCACTTTATAGCTGTAGAGGGGTGATCAGAAATCAATGTATAGCATTGAACAGGACATTTTAGATAGTTTTAAAAATGATTACCGGTATGTAATTCAAATTATTTTCTTTAGATGAGAATTTAAAAATGTGTGTTAACATACACAAAAATTGGTAACCAAAGATATAAATTGTATGGAAGCACTATGCAATTGAAGGGAGATTACTTATTGGTATTAAATCTTCTTTTGTAAACTATTTGACAGAGTTCCAGAACTTGATCTGCATTGCTTTAAAGCTGAGCCAAAGACAGTACTTCCAGAGCAGTATGATTATGTTTTAGATTCTGGTAGATCAGGAGTATCCACAGTTAGGTAAGACTATAATCTTTATTTTGATCTAATTATTTCATACATCTTCAGGTCGAGGATATATTAACAATACTTTCAATAGGTACATGTAGGTCCTGTAATAGGGGTCAACTGGAATGAAAGGTAGGAAATTTGGACTGCCTCTTGAAAAATTAGGGTAAATTGGATAGGGATAGAAATTTATCCTTGCAACAGGTCATCTCCCAACCCCTTAAAAGAGTTGTTCCAAGGGTTTTTATTGTGCAGAGCGACTGGTGTTTTTAAGAAGAAGGAAGAATGTATAGGTGCATAAGAGGAAAAAACTCCTCAAACACATCAAACGAAGGGAAAACAACTGTCATATTCCTGACTTAGTACAGACATTTGCTTATATAGAAAATCGTCTTTATGATGAACTGAGGAGCTCACACTATCTTTGAGGGTACACATACGGGAACAATTGATATGTGCATGCACTAATGATGGATATTCAATTGATGTATGCATTGTTTGTAAGGTCTTGTTTTAAAATATTAAGAAGATGTGGTATGATTGCCAATGAGACAACACTCCACCAGAGACCAAATGACATAGAAGTTAACAGCTATAGGTCACTCTACGGCCTTCAACAATGAGCAAAACCTATACTGCATAGTTAGCTATAATAGGCCCCGAAATGACAAGTGTTGTCTATAAGATTTAAAAAGTCTTTTTATTAATGATTGGTTTGATTAGACAGATTTTACTGTACTGTATGCTATGTTACTTTGGTTTTTTTTTTCTAGATTTGTAAAGATTTATGAATACTTATTTCTTTGTGATAATATACTTTTTCTGCTTTTATATGATATAGTTGGGGAACAGACACTGAAAGGAGCTACAGAGATTTTCAGGAAAACGATACAGGACGAGGTTACCAAGGCTACCAAGCATCAGCTAGATCAGCAAGGGTAAGTCATATATATTTTATGCAATTCTATTTAATAATTACAGTTTCATAAATAAAATCTGTTTGTTTCTGGAAAGAAAACAGATTATCTATGATTACACTTATGATCAATCCACCATAGGGAAAATTGTCTTTGGCCAAAATGAAATATCAACAGCAGTTACGCTACACTACTTTGGATTCTCTTTTACCAAATGAAAATATTGCAACCGTCACTTCTCCTGTTAACACTTTCTTTACCGGATTGAACTGGATTGTGCGTCTCTATGACATTATTAAAATTACACGCGACCATCACCTGCCCGCATTGATTTCAATGAAAGTGCGTGTTTTTTGTTATTTCGTAAACCGATGTGTTGATACTTTTCCTGGAGCTGGTGTGCGATTATTGATTAAACATCGATAAGTGCATATTACATTAACTGTTCACTAATATTTTTTCAGATTATTAGTGTAAAATATACATTTAGTTAAAGTAAATTTCTGGAAAAATTCTTTAAGTCAATTCGTCAAAAACGGAGATTTTTAGCGGAGAAGTCTCTTTGTAAAGATTCATATTCACGTATTTTCCATAAAAATACCATCATCAAACAAAACAGACGTTTTATTTTAATTATCCCAAACATATTGTGTAAAGGAAAAGTTTTTTTATGCTATATCTGATTATTATAATTGGATATAAAATCTGGTGTCCATTGTATTTTCATGTAAAAGAACCTCTGTTATAATCCAGTGATTGGTCCATAAGTGACCTAATTTTTTTTTTCCAGACATGCAATTACATTTCCCATTGCTTATGAACTCTCTTTATAGGACTTGCAGCACTGATAAATTGTTGTTGGTCCTGAATATGAACTAAATATTTAGTCTTTTTTTAATTATTGAAAAAATGCAATATGATAAGCGTCACAGTATTTAGAAATCTCAGTTTGATTCTAAACCACATTGTTAGCATGAAGCATTCCTAAAATTGCTTTAATTGATCTGAAATTTTTGTCCATTGCATATCTATTACAATATTACTTATAATTTCTAAATTACAGTTGGATCAATAAAACCCTTCTTAAAAATTATGTTGTTTTGTTTGTTTTAATAGAACAATATTGAGAAAGACTTTAAGCACCTAAAATTAAAAACTGAAGATGATATTAAACCAGTAAAGAAAAAGACCTATGGAGAGATAAGGAAAGAGGTTGAGGAAGAGGAGGACTACTTAGATCAGAACTGGTCTAAAAGGAAACCAGCCTCAAAAGCAGAAATGCTGAAAAAGATGGATGCTGTAAATATGCTTTAAAATTCAAAAGCAATGTACTAAAAAAAAAAGCATAAATATTTTTTATACCAACAGAATAGTTAATTCTCAAAAAATTGTCAGTATCTTTTGATACTTTTCCATTTTTATAGACAAGTTAGTGTCTTTACAATCAATCAAGCTCCAAGATCACTAGAAAAATTGTCAATAAATTAAACAAAGATAATAAAAAATCAGCCATCAACACTCAATTACCTGAATAATAGATATCTTAATATATAACTGAAGACAACCACTGAAGAGGCTCCTAACTTAAGACAGGCACATGAACATGTGATTAGGAAATATTTGTTTTTGACTCGCCATGACAAGGTCCTAAAACCGAAACCTGCTGTTTCTGACTACAGTGGCGTCAGCGTTAAAAATTCAATTAAGTTTGTGATTAGGTTGGTTTAAGGGGAACCACTATAAATGGTAACTCAATGATAGTTGGTATCTAGTTGTATTAGCATTAGCACATCTCATTTTCATTAAAGATTGTGATTAGGTCAGTTTAAGGGGAACTATTTAGGAAAAGTTATCAATATTTGGTATGCAGTTGTATAAGCCTTGGTATTTCTCATTTCCATGGAGATTATTTGGCCTTGAACCTTCAGTCATTGACTTTGGATGTTTTGCATAATTTACATGCTACAATTTGCCATTTTGATATTACTATCAGAATAACATAAAGCCAAGACAATCACATATCTATGTTTCAGCAGTTTATTTTAATCTAAACAACCCCCTTGTAAATCTTGATTAGTGGAATAACAAATGGTACATTTTCAATAAAACTAGATACATTAAAAGCACCTTACTCTAAAATACAATTTTAACCAAAAAATACAAGTACAAAGTACAAGTACAACAATAATTAACTATACAGTATAAAAAATTGTCAATAAACATGCTCAAAGTAGTTTATATTATAGTACACATCTCAAAAAGAAGGTTGATATTGTAGTAAGGGGTTCTGCCACCATGTTGCTACTGATAGATGATGAGTATCCTTAATGTTGAATATCAACACGATAAATTCTGTTCATATGATGGCTTAAGTTATTTTGCAATTGAATTATTAGATACTGTTTTCCAAGTTTTGTGAACTGATCCAAATTTAACCAGTGTAGTGACATCAATGCTATTTTTGCATCCTAGTTTTTAGCAATCCTATGGTCTTTTATAAGATAGATGCCTTAATATTTTGAGTTTTCAATTCACAGGAGGAGCTCTTGGAACATAATAAGCAACAGAAACTTATTGAAACAGTTATGATTGATCAACTTTCAAGGTAACATTAGCTAAGTCCGTATAAGTTTAAAACAGGGAGTAATTATTCTTGAAAGATACACATTATAGAACTGAAATTAGATTATTTTCAAGTTATAATTTCAGTGTATTGAAATTTTGAATTATTATCATATTTTTTTCAGCATACATGGGTATTTTGAATTCCTTTGAAATATTCTTTCAAAGTCTTTGCATGTACTGTGATTTATTATTTAAACTTTGGATTAATCTAAATTTGGCATTATACCACTAGGGTAATCGGCTTTAATGTGTTTAATCAGATGTCTGTTTAATCAGTGCTATGGATTTTTTCATTAAGAGAATTACAGTACTTGTCCTTATACAGAATTACAGAGCTAAAACAAATATTTCCTTGGAAGGCATATTGAACATAAAAAACCACAAATAAATTGTGAAATTTAAAAAATCTGTATATACAATTCAAGAATTGCAGCATATTGAAATAATTAATATATTTCAATTACAGAAATGTAACTTGTTAAATAGATATTCCATAAAAATGTATTTGAACATTTCAATCCACATAGTAATATAGACTAGAAATAATTAATATGAAATTGTTTATTATTGTTTATACAGACCTGTTATAAGTGATCCAGACCAAGATAGCAGAATTAGTGTACCAGTGTCAGAGAGGTATCATAGAGGGAGTCAAAGAATGTTACATGCATCAAAGTAAGTTTGAAAAATAAAACATTTAGGGCTTCATAAAGTGAGAAAAAAATATCTCACAAACTCAGTCAGTTTTTCAAACAAAAAGAATTCTATAAAAGTCAAAGATAGTTTCATTTTGCCAATAATGCAATAATTTGTGTTTGGTTTTAATCAGTCAACAGTCAATAAATAGTAAACATGTATAGAATGATCTCATATACATATAGAATCAGAGGGTGTTACACAAACTGTAAAAAATATCTTTTTGTTGGTGTGGTGGTAGCGTGCTTGCCACAAATGCAGGATCCCAGGGGTTCTATTAACGGCGTGGTCAAACTTAAAATTTGGTATTTGCTGCTTCTCTGCTAAGCATGCTGCATTTAGGAGTAAGAGGAAAGGCCAGGAGTCAGAATAGTGTATCCGGGTAGGGTGACATGTCTTTCCTAGACTGTTACCTTGTGAACTAGCAGATTAAAAAACCAGCCTCAGTGTGTCAGTCTAGTACAAAGCAGGGTCTATATTCATAGCATACTATCATGTTAATGCCCTTAATATGCATTTAATTTACCACTGGATGTTAAACAGTCATCTACCAACCTTGCATGTGAGTATGAACAATTGGTTCAAAGTATAATTTGAAGGTAGGGTGACACATCTTCCTTTAGACTGTAACCTACCTTGTGAGCTAGCATGTTGAAAAACTGAATAAGCATATCAGTCTAAAAAAAAACAGCAGGGTATAATCCGCTATATTTGTATCTCATGTACATGGTGTAATCCTGAATAAGCATTTTAACTATAAACTTTCATTCATTTAATTTCTTTATACTAGTCAGTTTAATGCAAAAATGTTGAAAACCAGACTACTAGTATATGTTTCAAAACATTGTCTGATTTAATAGAAATAAAGGATGTAAAAAGAAAGAATATGTTTTATTTTGTCTTTTTTTTAGAATTAGAACTAAGAATACAACAACTGAAAATATGTTATCAAAGAGAGTAAGATTTGGAGCTAGAATTTTAACAAGGTATTTATTGAACCCTGCATTTGAATTTTGCACATTGAGTTAAGCGTCAAAAAGTGACAATCATGTTTTATACAAAGTATAACAGTGTATGTAAAGTAAGGAAACACTGATGAAGAAGTTGTATGGTCATAGTATAGACCATTGAAATTCTGATTTTACAGTTGTATAATTTTCTGCACTCCATATACTACCGTAGTTTCATTTTTAATTCAGTTTTGTATCAAAACAATGTATATGACAATACATAAGTAATTTTTGTCTCAAAAAAGTTACAGAATGCGAGACATAGGAATTGGCAGGTGATGGCTGTGACATAGTGAACTAGTTGTATTATGCTTTATATTTTATTGATGCTTCATACCTTGTATACAGATGCGTTATGTTACGAAGTTTCCTTCTGTCATATGTCTATTGTCCTTGACCAAATTTTCATGGTTCAGTGACAGTTTCAAAAACCTCATTTTTTTGTCATTTGAATCTCTCTCTTATTATGAGTAAAAGGATAACTCAGATACTATAAGCCATAAGTCAGCTGTATTTGGTTTATGGAATGATTTGTTAGGTGTTCACGTCTGTCTTGCAGTGTTCATCTAACCTTGACCTCATTTTTATGCTTTATCCATAGCACTTTATACTACATATGCACATTTAATCAACATGTTTACAACACTGTGAAACTGCAAACAGATAAGGTTCTCAAAAGAAAGATTTGAAATTAACGGATGAATTATTACAAATAAACTGCACATCTGTAAAATACGCAAACCAAAATATTTATTTTTGGGGTTAGCTATAATGCTAAGTAGATTCAAAATCTCTGTTTACTGGAACTTTTTGAGGTCCTTGAAATATAATTTAATTCTTGTCAGCCCACTTGAATATTTCTTTCATACATGCTTTACATTTCTTTTTACATTCCTACACACTTCCAATGTTCAAAGAGATGATACAGAAGATCAATTGGATGTTTATATTATGATTCATTTGTTATGGGAAAAATATTATTTAGTCACATGGCTGTCTTTACAGCAATTTCATTGGTTAAGATTCAGTGATACATACATCTTTTTGATTGATAATGGTGGTATGAAGTGTGAAAGAGAGGCGAAAGATACCAAAGGAACATTCAAACTCATAAGATGAAAATAAACTAACGCCATGGCTAAAAAAGAAAAAGACCAAAAGACAAACAACAGTTTACAAACCACAACATAGAAAGCTAAAGACTGAGAAACATGAACCCCACCAAAATCCGTGGGTGATCTCAGGTGCTCTGGAAGGAAATCTTTTTATTAATTTGGCATATTTTATTACAGAAATGGACATGATGCTATGAGAGAACTTACTGGATTTTTCTTTCACTTTGACAACACACTTACTATTTATGAATTCAGACAGTTTGGTAAAAGGTAAGTAATGTTTTAATTTGTAGTTGGTGTTGAAATTGAGAATCTAGATTAGAATTGAAAATAATGTACAGTAAAACATTGGAAACAAACTCCTCAGAGTACATAAGTATATACCCATTTCTGGAAATGTTGCTGTGTGTCCTATTTTCACGAAAGATTAACCTGAAATTAAGCCTAATTCATATTTCACTGTACATTTAAATGCATTGTACAAACTCTAAAATGCAAACAATGTTTAATGTACACTTTTAAGGCCCAAAATACAAACAAAACCAGATGCAAAATAACCAGATATACAGTACTTCATTGAGGATTCTGAGACAAAAAATGAATAATTTTTTACCTGTTTCTTGATGAAATTAAATTAGAATCGACAACTTTCAATTGTTCAAGTATGTATGGTGTCTGCTAGAAGTGGTAAAAATTAAAGGCAGATAACTTAAAAAATTTATTTTGGAAGGAATTCTTTAGATTAAATCATTTGATACATGTATTTATAGTTTATTAGTATACTTTTAAGTTCAGAAAAGATTTGTGTCTATTGAATGTAAATTAGTTAAAAAGGAAATGTAAAGAGTTGCGTAGTTTCTTTTAGAGGTAGCCTTTGAAGGGTCTTTGACTTCAAAATTTGTTTAACAGTTGTTGAGTCTGCCAAAAAGTGAGTTCCTTTTCCTCTGCATTTTGGATTAGTATTGGTTCAGTAATCCATTTACATATTTTGAAAGGGATATTTTATTACACATTTTTCCAAATGATATATATATAAAAGTAATATATTTATAGTGCTAAAGCTTTGCCATTTGTCACACGAGGAAGGTATGGTCACATACAGGGACCAAGAGAAGATGAACCATATAATTTAATGGATATTTTTTCTGTAAGTAATAATTTTTTAGTGAAGATGCAAGATAAATGATATAAAAGAACTGGTTATATGTTGATTTATGATACCCCTGTTAAGAAGGAAGGGGGTATACTGATTTACCACTGTCCTTTTGTCAGTCTGTCCATCCCTACCATGAAAATTTTATATCATTTTTCTCAGGAACTACAAATCAAAACTACATGAAATTTGGTAGCAAGCTTTATGTGAGCATGATATACAGAGTTTTCACATTCATTGCTCATCAACTTTTGTTTTTTCTCATACATATTGGTCATGTATGTTATTTTTTGTCATATTCTTCTCAGGAAATGTATTTTCATTTAATGACCTCACATTGGTTAAATTTTTCATTACAATCAGACTTTTTATGCAGGTTTAAGGTTGTGATTTTAAGTTGAAGAATGAAAATCAAGGAGGTAAAAATCCCCTTCTGTTGTTAAGCAGTTTTTATACGACCGCAAAAAAATTTTTGTGGTCGTATATTGGTATGACGTTGGCGTTGTCGTCGTCGTCGTCCGGCGTCGTCGTCCGAAGACGCATTAGTTTTCGCACTCTAACTTTAGTTTAAGTGAATGGATCTCTATGAAATTTTACCATAAGGTTCAATACAACAAAAGGAAGGTGGGGATTGATTTTGGGGGTTATGGTACCAACAGTTAAGGAATTAGGGGCCAAAAAGGGGCCAAAAATAAGCATTTTCTAGTTTCCAGACAATAACTGTGGAACGGTGTATGGATCTCTCTGAAATTATACTACAAGTTTCCATACGACAAAGGGATGGTTAGGATTTGCTTTGAGGGGTTATGGCTCAAACCGTTTAAGAATTAGGGGCAAAAAAGGGGGAAAAACAAGGTTGTCCTGGTTAATGGACAAATACTTTAGTACAAAACATAATTTAAAGCAGTGTAAGGGAGATAAATCAAATACATCATTGAAATTATCTCCCTTACACTGCTTTTAAATTATGTATAAAGTAATGGTTAATGAACAATTAAGATAATTTAAAACAGTGTAAGGGAGGTAATCCAAATACAACGTTTTGGTTACTTCCCTTACACTGCTTTTAAATTATGTTTAAAGAAATGCATATTTATAAAGGAAGACCAGTAAAAATATCTGCAAATGTTGCATCTTTTTTTTTTACAAAAAAATCCATATGAAAGATTTGACACTATATTTTAAATTCTATTATAAAATAGATTAAGTTAGCACTATGGTAAATTTAAATGGGTAATTATGGTTTGGGGGAAAAATGGGGGGGGGGGGGGGGGTAAAAAGAAATTGTGGGGGGGTCAATTTTTTCTCATTTCAGATTTCAGAAATCAAAAAGAATTATTCTTCAAATATTATTTTTTTTTCAAATTTCAAATATTGAAAAATTTCAAGAAGTAATCTTTAATTGCACAGTATGGCGCATTAGATTTGTAAAATCTTTGACCACATTTATTTATTTGTTATGCCGAATCTAACGATGTATTTAGATTTTTAATTTTGGATCCAGTTTTCAAATTGGTCTACATTAAGGTCCAAAGGGTCCAAAATTAAAATTTGTTTGATTTTAACAAAAATTGAATATATGGGGTTCTTTGATATGATGAATCTAAACATGTATTTAGATTTTTGATTTTTGGCCCAGTTTTCAAGTTGGTCCAAATTGGGGTCCAAAATTAAACTTTGTTTGATTTCAACAAAAATTGAATATATGGGGTTCTTTGATATGCTGAATCTAACCATGTATTTAGATTTTTTATTTGTGGACCCTGCTATCAAATTGGTTCATATTGAGGTCAAAAGGGTCCAAAATTAAACTTTGTTTGATTTCATCAAAAATTGAATTATTGGGGTTCTTTGATATGCCAAATCTAACTGTGTATTTAGATTTTTTATTTTGGGTCCCGTTTTTTAAATTGGTCTACATTAAGGTCCAAAGGGTCCAAAATTAAACTTAGTTTGATTTTAACAAAAATTGTGAATTCTTGGGGTTCTTTGATATGCTGAATCTAAACATGTGTTTAGATTTTTGATTATGGGCCCAGTTTTCAAGTTGGTCCAAGTTGGGGTCCAAAATTAGACTTTGTTTGATTTCAACAAAAATTGAATATATGGGGTTCTTTGATATGCTGAATCTAAACATGTATTTAGATTTTAGATTTTTGGCCCAGTTTTCAAGTTGGTCAAAACTGGGGTCCAAAATTAAACTTTGTTTGATTTCAACAAAAATTGAATATATGGGGTTCTTTGATATGCTGAATCTTACCATGTATTTAGATTTTTTATTTGTGGGCCCGCTATCAAATTGGTTCATATTGAGGTCAAAAGGGTCCAAAATTAAACTTTGTTTGATTTCATCAAAAATTGAATTATTGGGGTTCTTTGATATGCCAAATCTAACTGTGTATTTAGATTTTTTATTTTGGGTCCCGTTTTTTAAATTGGTCTACATTAAGGTCCAAAGGGTCCAAAATTAAACTTAGTTTGATTTTAACAAAAATTGAATTTTTGGGGTTCTTTGATATGCTGAATCTTAACATGTGTTTTGATTTTTGATTATGAGCCCAATTTTCAAGTTGGTCCAAGTTGGGGTCCAACAAAATTAAACTTTGTTTGATTTCAACAAAAATTGAATATATGGGGTTCTTTGATATGCTGAATCTAAACATGTATTTAGATTTTAGATTTTTGGCCAAGTTTTCAAGTTGGTCCAAATTGGGGTCCAAAATTAAACTTTGTTTGATTTCAACAAAAATTGAATATATGGGGTTCTTTGATATGCTGAATCTTACCTTGTATTTAGATTTTTTATTTGTGGGCCCGCTATCAAATTGGTTCATATTGAGGTCAAAAGGGTCCAAAATCAAACTTTGTTTGATTTCATCAAAAATTGAATTATTGGGGTTCTTTGATATGCCAAATCTAACCGTGTTTTTAGATTTTTAATTTTGGGTCCCGTTTTTTAAATTGGTCTACATTAAGGTCCAAAGGGTCCAAAATTAAACTTAGTTTGATTTTAACAAAAAATGAATTCTTGGGGTACTTTGATATGCTGAATCTAAACATGTGTTTAGATTTTTGATTATGGGACCAGTTTTCAAGTTTGTCCAAGTTGGGGTCCAAAATTAAACTTTGTTTGATTTCAACAAAAATTGAATATATGGGGTTCTTTGATATGCTGAATCTAACCATGTATTTTGATTTTGGACATTGTACCATAATAGGTAAATTAAAAAAATTGAAGTTCTTAGACCACATTCTTTCTGTGTCAGAAACCTATGCTGTGTCAAATATTTAATCACAATCCAAATTCAGAGCTGTATCAAGCTTGAATGTTGTGTCCATACTTGCCCCAACTGTTCAGGGTTCGACCTCTGCGGTCGTATCAAGCTGCGCCCAGCGAAGCATTTTATTGATATTGCTGCTCTAAAAAGCCATTTATCTGAAGTCCCATTTCTTATTACCAATAGTGGAAAAAATAGTGATCAACACCTGCAAAGATATACTACTGAAATAGGCATTCGTGAATAAAAATCCTGCATTGTATAAAACCATTGTAATTTTATCTATAAAACTGTATAATTATGAATGAGGTATAAATATATATTAGGTTTTTGTTTAGGGTAATGAAATTATAATTGATACAAGAGGACAACATTCTCTGCCAGATACAGTGAAGAAGAGAGACAGGGTTTACTTCAAAATTACTGACGTTGATGAGGAAGAAAAACAAATTCTTTTGTAAGTGATGATTTTTAATCTTTTTCTTTATAAAAAAAAGGCTCATAGCACTATTTTATAATAATATGCAGTAAATGAAAATACTATAATTTTCAACAGTACATTGACCATATATATTCTAAGTTGAAGTATTTCTCTAATAAATTACAACTTTTCCATGATTTTCCAGACGAAAAAATAGCATTAAAGGGGGGGTCTGATCCCAGATCCAGCTTATTGATTTGTCAGAATCCCGTATCCCGCTTATCATTGCAATAATAGCGCTTGTAATTTCACATGTCCCGCCCGACTTCGTTTCCCGTTTTCACGCAAAAATGATTTGACTTTCACGTGTCACGCTTAAAAATATCGGCCAATCCCGCGTCACGCTTAGACCCTATGAGACCCACTTAAAAGCACTATTTTTTTCTTTGGGATTTGCTTTGTGCATAAGGTGTGGCATTTGCCTTGTCTATCCTTAATTTAAAATTTTGTCTTTTAACATATCTGCCTACTTTGAGGTATAAATAAGAAATTTAATCAGTATGACTACTGGGTAAAAAATGTGAATCAATTTATCAAATAGGACCAGTGAGGATCAGTACAGAATCTGGTCATTAATATTTTGAAAGTTCTAATTTTTTATTTTTTATAAATCTTTAGAAGTATAATATATTTGGAATATAAGTTATTCTTCTTTAATTATCATATTCTGAAGTCTAAAAAAAAATTTCAATTTGATTGTTTTTGGGCAAAATCTTAAGATATGATTAAGCAGGCAATTGTTTACATTGTTTGTGAATGGTTAAAGTATTATCCAAATCTTCACCCACAAAGTCATTTTGATTAGTGTCAACTATCTGTTGCTTACTTATAAAATGAATTTGAAATTATTGCTATTTATGTAACATTTCCGTTTCAAAAGCATGAAGGCAAAATATTTGACAATCTTACATTGAAGTAATAAAAGATATGCCAGGTTTCAATATAAATTAAATTATTTTTATACACTAAAAAGATTTCAGAGGTTGTTGAACACAATGCTAAACTATTTGAAAAGAAAATTTATGTTTGAAATTATTTTTATTTTAGACAAGAGGAGACATACAGATCTCAAAACAAACAAGAAATGATAAATAGAAGAATTCTAGATGGTGTACAAGGTATATATTTCACTACACATCAAGTTCAAAATCCTGACTGAAATTTATATATCTTTATTGTAGATTAGAATTTCTCTCAATTTGTTGGTTTGCACAGTATTTTTTAGTTACTGTGAATTCAAAAATTAATGCTTGTATTTATTATTGCGAATCACTGGTTTTTTGTCGAGCCTGCGACTTTTGTCGCAGAAAGCTCGACATAGGGATAGTGATCCGGCGGCGGCGTTAGCTAACTTCTTAAAAGCTTTATATTTTAGAAGGTGGAAGACCTGGATGCTTCATACTTTGTATATGGATGCCTCATGTTATGAAGTTTCCGTCAGTCACATGTTCAATGTCCTTGACCTCATTTTCATGGTTCAGTGACAACTTGAAAAAAAAGTTAACATTTTTTGTAATGTTAAATTCTCTCTTATTATAAGTAGTAGGATAACTATATTTGGTATGTGCATACCTTGCAAGGTCCTCATGCCCGTCAGACAGTTTTCACTTGACCTCGACCTCATTTAATGGATCAGTGAACAAGGTTAAGTTTTGGTGGTCAAGTCCATATCTCAGATACTATAAGCAATAGGTCAAGTATATTCGGTGTATGGAAGGACTGTAAGGTGTACATGTCCAACTGGCAGGTGTCATCTGACCTTGACCTCATTTTCATGGTTCAGTGGTTATAGTTAAGTTTTTGTGTTTTGGTCTGTTTTTCTTATACTATATGCAATAGGTCAACTATATTTAGTGTATGGAAATATTTTATGATCTATATGTCAGTGGCGCAGGTTTTATTTGACCTTGACCTCATTTTCACAGTTCATTGCTCAGTGTTAAGTTTTTGTGTTTTGGTCTGTTTTTTCTTAAACTATAAGCAATAGGTCAACTATATTTGTTGTATGGAAGAATTGTTAGCTGTACATGCCTGCCTGGCATGGTTCATCTGACCTTGACCTCATTTTCATGGTTCATTGGTCAATGTTTAGTTTTCTTGGTAAATGTTAAGTTTATTTGACAGTTGTAATAAAGCTTTATATTTAGGACTATCAACATAATATCAGTGATAAGTAAAGAAGGCGAGACATTTCAGCGTGTGCACTCTTGTTGTAAAAATGTGAGATATAATTAATGCGATTGCAAAAATTTTGTGAAGGAAAATCCCTACTGAAAATATGAATGAAAAATTTGAAGCTTCTGGGAGACAATTACGCATTGACATTATAGCCCATTTTAGTGACAGATTAATTCTTTCACCTGTATTTTCGATAGCCCGTTTGAGAGAAAAGTTACCTGTTTAAATAATACTCCCCATAATATAACAGTGAACAGTAATGTAATGCTAGCTTAGGTTTAAGGAGATAAAAGTGCAATATGCAATGTTTTTTGGATACTACTATCAAATTACAAACAACAACATATTTATATAAAAAAGAAGTATCGATGAATCTGAACCTTAATCTAGACAATATAAAGAGAAGGAACAGTTTGCAATTTTATAAACAGAATTGTACAGGGAGGAGCACATAACCTACATTCACTGGGATATCCATTCCAAGCTATAACAGACTTTTAACATTTGAGTTAACTTTTTAGAAGTTTAATGTTTTATTTTAAATGGACATTGTATTTTTTTATGTTGTGCCATTTTGATATCAATAAATTTATTATTCTTCTATAATTGATTTCTGTCCATTCCGCCAAAATTTCCATGGTAATTTTCTAATTGAAACCACAAAGAAAGATAATTTTAAAAACTTTTTCACTAAAAAAGAAGACTTTCCTTAAAATTCACATACCAGTAATACAAATCTAAAAATTTTGACTATGGAGATCACTCTTCCTCTAATCATGGCTTAGACCTATCAACATGAACTAAAGCTCAATAAAATAAAGAATACTGCCATTTTGGATAGGTGATAACAATATTATATACAAAGTCTATGCATTAAATTTCATCTCAATGTTACAGAGGAAGTGAGAGAGAGATTGAAAAAGAGAGGAATAAAAACAGTGACTGGTTTAGGGAGATATTACAGAAAACTGGATAAAACAGGTTCCGGAGTACTGTACAAGTTTGAACTGGAGAAAGGATTGTTTACATTTCATATAGAGCTACCTCCTCAGGTGAGATTTCTTCTGCTTAAGTAATTATAGTAGACATGATTCCCCTTGAAAAATTGATCCATGTAAGCTTATGAAATGAAATAATCTATATTAATGTATATATATTTCTTAGTATAATAGAAAAGAAAGGATATAGGGTATCCATCCATGAAACAAAATCCGTCTGTGCACAGCAAAAAACACAAAATGCAAAGGAACAGCGCTTTATTGCTGTTCTTCATCTCACTGCAGGTTTCAGACAGCCCCTAACACCGGTTTGAGCAGAATTCTTTAACGATCACTCTACAACTGTGAACTTAAGAACAAAGCCATGGAGTAATATTAATAACATAAATCTGGCAAAGAAATCAAACATGTACTTTCATAATTTAGCCCAGCAATCACACGGCCAAAAAACAATATAAACATTTAGACAACCACAGGGAACATCATGATATATGTATGTCACACAATGGTGTCAGCCAACATCATTGACACTGGTTAGGAAAATAGCGATAAACAGATTATCTATGGTCTCTCAACTCCAGGAATTTCTAGTCTACATCTCATATCAGAGTTATCTCCCTTCCATGAGGTTATAGCTGAGAAATTCCCTCTTGTTTTCAGAACCATACATACTGTTAATTCAAAAATTTGTTAGTGCATTTGATTATAGTGATTTTTTGAACAATTGACAAAAATGTGAGATTAATTATTGGGATTTCAGCAAATGGTGTATTCAAACAACACATCATTGTGAAACTAACAAGTTTAGCAATGATAATAAAAATTTTTTTTTTTTTTTTTTGTAATCTATAATTATGTAATGAATAGGAGAAAAGCTATAAATATTTATTATATGTTTTATTTAACATATGTTTGTTATTTTTGGTGTTATTTGGATTATGAATAGAATATAAGTTATTGAATTTGTACAGGTAGTATTTACATAAAAATTGTAATCTTTATTTTTGCAGGATTTAGACCAAGCGTTTGATGTGTTAGATCCTGATGAGACAGGAGAATTAGATTATAGCGTCTACATGAGAGGTGTTATAGGGCAGATGGTTGAATCTCGTAAAAATCTAGTCAGGAAGGTTGGTGTTGGTTCATTAAGTTGTTTTTAAGGTTTTGATCATCAGCCTTATGCAGTTAAATTTGATCAGTTTGTTTTTTTCACCTGTGACTACAAAAATGTACCGGTAAATATGTTTTTGTTGATTAGGTGTGTTAATGAAGAAGAATTTATATACCAATAGTGTATGATATCATAGGTTTCATTACAAGTGAAAATTGGATATCTCTTGATATTAACTTTAGATATTTAATTTCAATGAAATAATTTTCAGATTAATTTTGTTCATATACTGTAAATTCAGAAATGATTGCGTGCATTTATTATTGCGATTTTTGCAGAATAGACAAAAATGCGAGATTAATTATTTCGATTTGCTGTAAACCTGCATACAGATATATTTGGCAGATATAAGGATGCGAGTTCTTATTATTGCATTTCTCACCCAATCGCATTATTCGCAATAATAATAACCTTGCAATAATTTCTGAATTTACAGTAGATGTTTGTACACTATATTCTTCCTGTTTGCCCAAAACGATATCTTTTAAATGTCAGGCACACACACACATATATGAAATATTCAGCACATTTATCTAAGCAATTACAAGTCAAAGTTTTTGGTATATGGCACCAATCATCCTCAGTTTTTGTTATACAATGTACCATGTGACATGTTTTCAATTCCTTTGATATTCTACTTCCTGTTTGCCATCTACTAGTCAAAGTTATTGGTATATGGCACCATGCATCCTCAGGTTATGTCATACCATGTGACATATTTTCAATTCCTTTGATATTCTACTTCCTGTTTGCCATCTTCAAGTCAATATTATTGGTAAATGGCACCAAGCATCCTCAGGTTTTGTTATACCATGTGACATTTTTTCAATTGCTTTGATATTATTCTTCCTGTTTGCCCAAAACTTATATCTTTAACTGAAAAATAATTTTAACAACATTGAGCTGGGATGTAATTGGTGGACAATAGCTCACAGTGCATCTTGTTAATTTTCCTGCAAAGCAGACTTGACATATCTGTGTTAACAGTTACATATATAATTTATTTTATTTAACCAGGCCTTTAGAAAAATAGATTCACAGAAAAGAGGAGTGATTACCGTTAGTGAGATCAAGAAATATTTCAATGCTAGTTTTCAGCCTCCTTATAAACAAGGTAAGAAAAATATTGGGCAGCCATTATATAACATTGAAATTGTTGTACATTGTGAGTCGAAAGATTTTTGAACAATAATTTAACTGTTTTTAGTCAAAATATCTATTAAAAAAATGTCCACGATGCATAGTTAGTCTAGAATATGACAATATGGAAAATGTTATCCACTAATGAGGAGTCCTGTTTTAATGGTTTCCTTTCTGATAAAATCAGTATAGCAGTCTCTCCTAAATGTAGGATGCACAGTGTTATCCCCCTGTATGCTTTTTAACTTTGAATATACCAATTATAAAGTAAGATTGGCAAATACTTTTAACTTATAGCAAGGTACCAAAATTTACACTATTTTAAGATATGAAAAAAACCAAAAACACCAATGATCGAATTAAATTAATATGATTTTTGAAAGCATTTATTTAGTTTGTGAGTGTAGGTTGAATTTACACATCAATAAGTTCCTTCAAATTAACCTTTATTACTCAACTAGTCTTTGTTTATGCTTCAATTGTATATGTCCTATTACTGTTATTAGTCCCCTACCGACGAAGTCGAAGGGGACTTTAGGTTTGCACTCTGTCCGTCTGTTCTTGAAGATATTGATTTGATATTTGGTATATAGTTTTATCATGACAAGTTATAGATCAAGTTCGAATTTTGTTCCGGTCTGATGATTTAGTCCAGAGTTATGGTCCATGAAAAAACTCCATAACTAATGTTAGAGTACTATGTTAAACCATATAATCTGTACAAAGGGAGATAACTCATTTTTTAAAAGACATTCTTTGGTAAATTGTTTGAGGAATTTTGTGGCAGGTTTATACGTTATTTTGTATAAACTAATTTTCTGAATGCTACATGTATATATATATTTTTTTATTAAGTGAAATCCTTTAATTAGATACTAATCTATTTTTATTAAGGTATATATACATTACATTGTGTAGATAAAAGTTGTTGACATTTTATAGGTAAGTTACAAATCTATATTAGTTTGTGACAAATGAAAGAAAAAATATTTGGAACTATTAATTATATTTGATTTTAATTTGAAAATAGATATACATTGTATTACATCATATCTAATGTTAGAGTGTTATAGGTTTTCCACACTTTTTTTCATCATGCTTGAAAATATTGATTGACAATTGGTAAATAGTTTTATCATGACAAGTTACAGATCAAGTTCAAATTTTTTGTTTCGGTCTGATAATTTTGTGAAGAGTTATGGTCCTTGGACTTGAAAAAATTCACTCATATATTCAGTTTTCCACACGGTTTTTAGTCATGCTTGAAGATATTGACTTCATATTTTCTTTTTGTTTACACCATGACAAGTTATAGAACAAGTTAGCATTTTGTTCCAGTATAATGAATTTTTACCCGGTAGGGGACTATGTATTGCCATGCAATACTCTCAGAATGCTTGTTTTATATATGTTTTAACCATTTACACACAACTAATTTTTCAATACTGTGGATTCATTTTTATTCGTGGTATATCAATTTTCGTGGGTTTCGTGGGTCACAGCGAAACCACGAATTTAAGAATTCAACGAAGAATAATCCCGAGAAATGTGTATGCGGTCGGATGTTTATTTCCGGTTATGTTATGCAGTTCTATTATAGTGTTGACTAGCGATATAGATTGTAACATAACACGTGTTTTTAATGAAGACGATACAAGTATTTTGATTAAATCAATAATAAATATATCGAATATCAGTGATAATTTACTTTTTAAAATTGATTAAAACTGTTCATGGAAAATAACTGCAAGTTGTTAATTACCGTGTCATAGTTTGGTTTACTGGTGATTAAAAATCAATAGGATTAAGTACGGGGATATTGCCCGTAGGTAATATTGGTTATGACAGGAGCATTTATTTTCACACCTTTTACTTATATGACTGTTTATTATATCGTGATTAGGGAAATGAGCTTTCAATCATAGAGTTTTGAATGCCTTATAAAATTCCAACAAGAATTTATAAATTGTAAAACTAACAAGTAATTAGTTGTCTCTGTCCATTATTGTAATAGAAGTTTTTAATGAACACTTTAACCTAGAATGACTAAGCGAGGATTTTGACAATTCAAAACTTTTTCAATGAATTCCTTCTTTTTTGTTTGTTTTATTATTGATCAAACCAAGGAGGTTATATGATCTCCTAAATCAAAAAGAAATCCACGAATTACGTATCTGATTTTTTTTTTTTTGTAACTAGCGATCCACGAATTTACGTATACCACAAAACGTCTTTTTTTTTCTAACGACGAAAATTGATACCCACGAAAATAAATGAATCCACAGTATGCCAATTTTGAAATAATAATGATAATAATAATAATGATACAAGAACTCTTTATTTATAGAGGTAAAATAGTTAAATATAAAACTAATCCTTACTGATGCCCTAAATATGAAATACATGTAATAAAACGATCAAAAAAGCACAAAATACCAACATATTATGAGGTTATTATAACTGATACAAGAAGAAAATATAACCACATTTCCTATGGTAAACATGACAACAGGAAGTTACAACTATTCTTAATAAGATAACAACGAATACATGTATGAATAATATCATGTAGTTTTTGTATTAATTGAAAGGAAACCGTTGTAGTAGTGTTTAAGAGGATATTGTAAATCTGACTTCCTATTTATTTCCCATTTGATTTGATTGAAATGTGTATGAATAATATACATATTTTTTCCTTGTCATAATTATAAAAAAAAGCTTCTTCATTTTTTTTGTCTTGTTTAAGAATCCTTTTGAAATTTCATGTTGTTTTTTTTTTTTTTGTGTTTTCTCATTTTTGCCTTTTATCTTGAAAACTATAATAGATAAAGAGAAACTTCAACTAAAAAAAATAATCAACAAGACTAGATCATTTAGCCATAGCTCTGATTGTTTTATAGATAAATAGGATTAAGAGGGGATTCAAAAGATGCCCCCAAAATTACCATTTAAATTTCAAAATCAGTTAAGGATGTAGTATTTCCATATAATTCATTAGAAAAATTAATGACCAGAATTTTCAAACTGAGATTTAAGAGTATCGCAAAGGACCAGAACTTTACCAAAATTTCAAATTTTTTGGAATACTTTGAAAATTAAAGGAAATGATAGGTATATGTTATTGAGACAGCAGCTTATCAACAGAATAAAACAAAAGTGACATCTAGAGGTCAGCATTCTGTCTTCTGAAGTTAACAAGTGTCTTTACCAAATAGCCCTTATTCTAGACAAGTTATGACTGAATTTAACAGGGGGCTTCTGCGGATGAGTGGTTTATTATTACATCTGCTGTATCATTAGCCAGTCAAAACTAAGATTAGTAGTTGATACCCCAATTGACTATGATTGCTTGTTTTCCTGCCAAAGGTCAGTTGTTCTCTCCAGGCACTCCAGCGTTCTTTACCAATAAAAATCTGCCGCCAAGATATAGCCTATTTTACTGAAAATGGTGTTTAACACTACAATCAATCAATCATATGAACTTAGCGTGGACTACAATAGAACTGCAATCAACACAAAATTCCTTTCAGGACAGAAACACTAAAAGATATAAAGACAACCATTGATATGGTTCTGGGCTTTGAAATTAAAATGTGAAGGCTGTTTTTATAGTACAATGTACTAATTTACTCAATCAAAACTTCATGTCGTGAAAAAACACCATTGTCTTTACTTTTGGTAAAGACTCCTAAAGTGGATACCTTGGTATGCGGGGTTGTCAATAAATATCATCAGTTAAAAAACCAATATGACAACAATACTTCATGAGACTGCAATTTTATTAAAATGCTGGTCGACATGTTTCGCCTGTCAATCTTTGAATAATTTATAGATTTAAAAAAAAAATTAAAATGCTGATCAGAAAAAGCACTGCAAATGTAAAATCAATAATAATGTTTTTCAAGAGCTTTACTGGACTGAAAAAAAGCTAGTGCTAATAAAATCATTACAGTCAGGCTTTTACCACATGACTTTGACTTGTAGTTGCTGAGATAAATGTGCTGAATATTTCACTATGAGTCATAGTATCTTTTTAAGGACACCTAGAATTTTCAATCTAGATGCATTGAATGTATTGCTAGTATTATTATACCCCACGCAACGAGTTGCGGAGGGTATAATGTTTTTGACCCGTTCGTCTGTCCGTCTGTCCGTCTGTCCGTCAGTCCGTCAGTCCTGTTTCTTGTCATCACAACTCCTCTCAAACCACACAACAGAATTTCACGAAACCTTTTTAGATAATAAGGACATACTATGTAGTTGTGCATATCGACAGGAAATTACGATTCAATTTTTTTTCTAGGAGTTAGCCCCTTTGAACTTATTTACTTTAATGTACTACTGCAACCTTTTGTCATCGCAACTCCTCTCAAACCACACAACAGAATTTCATGAAACCTTTTCAGATAATAAGGACGTACTACGTAGATGTGCATATCGACAGGAAATTAGGATTCAAATTTTTTTCCAGGAGTTAGCCCCTTTGAACTTATTTACTTTAATGTACTACTGCAACCTTTTGTGATCGCAACTCCTCTCAAACCACACAACATAATTTCATGAAACCTTTTTATATAATAAGGACATACTATGTAGATGTGCATATCGACAGGAAATTACGGTTCAATTTTTTTTCAAGGGTTACGCCCCTTTGAACTTATTTGCTTTAATGTACTACTGCAACAGTTTGTCATCACAACTCCTCTGAAACCACACAACAGAATTTCATGAAACTTTGTAGATAATAAGGACATACTATGTAGATGTGCATATCGACAGGAAATTATGATTCAATTTTTTTTTCTTATACATTTTTTTTTCTTACACATATCATGGAAGTATTATATTTACAGGAACTCCAACAAGCGGACTTCAAACGTTTATAGTGCGATGCCGCAAAATCGTTAAGTATCTGTTAATTAACTCGACATGTCTTATGGATGCATGGGTTCCGATCAAATTTTTGGAACCTCGTGAATGATCGTAATTACGGAACATACCGAAATAACCGGATGTGTACTTAATTGTCAAGGAAATGACATTTACCGACCATGTGAATTACAAATATAATGTCAGTTTTTACGGGTTTTGCTGCTTAATAACAAATAAAAAGAAAAGAAACGAAATCCCCGCGACTGTTTTCACAGATTAAAAAAACAAACAAAAAAAAACTGAAGAGTAAAAATACTCACAAGCCATAAACATTTCAGTTTAAGTTACAATCAATTTTAAAATAGTAAGATTTTTATTCATGAGAGGGCCGTTGGCTAAACACGCATAACTGTTATATACATGTTAGGCTTGAAAATCATAAAATTCTCATGAAAAGTAAACGGAAAAGTTTTTATCAGTAATTATAATCGCGTTTTACTGCTAACTTTGACAAATATTTTACTGAAGTGTTTAATGAAAGAATTTCCAACAAAAATTTAATCCACTAAAAAAGTTGGCCAGGGGGGGTGGGGACGGGGTTAAAGAGCTTTGATCCGAAAAAATATCAGATATTTCATGCAATTAAACAAGAAACAAAAACATAAATTGCTTAGCATACGGTGTTCAGAACTGTTAAGCTTTTAAACACATAAATAAATTCTAATTTGGTTTCCATGATAAAAAAAAATTTAAACTGCTTAGGGCCCATCATCATGGTGATCGTTCTTTAAATGCATACAGAAATATTTAAAGCCATCTGTAAAAATAAATCTGTCAGACGTCAGAGTAATCTCGGACTAGGTTGAATGTTTAAGGTTGTTTACAACTTTGGATTAATTATAAAAGGTGTAACAATTCATCTGCATGTCTCGTAACCTGGTATTGCTATGTAGAGGTCATCACATGCGTGTAATTATTAACCTCTTTTGGTCTTTAAAACATATTTGATAAATAAGTTAATAACATTTTACGATATTTTACGATAGAGAAAACCATAAATATTTGTGTTACACTCGATAAAAGTTTACAATCTTTAACTTAAAATTTGAGTTATCAGGCACCATCCGGCTCACTACACGCGCATCACATTATTTTCTGCAAACACTCTACTTCAGAATCATGTAATTTTCATAATCGGATATTTCTTGATTTCCAAGTTCCAATGATTAAAACATACTCAACAAAACTAAAAATAAGCTTGCCCTCTTTCCGAATGCAGTTAATTTTCTTATGTCATTCTGTTAAATATGGACCGATTTTTTCGATCTTTTCAGCTTTGTTCTTCATTTATTGAACAGAAACAGGTGTTGTTATTCATGTGGCGATTCACAAATAACCACGGGAGTTTCCGTGTTTATTTACATTGGTAGGTAGATAAGACAATCGATACCAAATCACGTGATAAGACCAGCTTCAGTTAAAAGAACAGGCGAAGGCGGCATCACAGATACCCCACAAAGGAGTTATCACGTACTTGACAAACTGAGTCGGAACCTTTTATTTTCTTAAAGAAATCAGTGGGATGGGAATGTGCTAATTTTTCGTTGGAGTTCCTGTCAATATAATACTTCCATGCACATATTTTATTTCTCCAATGACAATGTGGGGACGTGGGGTATGTGAGCGCGCTCACTAAGGTTCTTTAATTTCATTTGTACCATTTATGTTGTAGGTGCTACCCCTGGTGTTAGTAGTTTGAAGGCTTTTTTGGAAGCAATAACATCGTCTCCAGACCAAGAAGAAATAACTTATGTAGAATTTGAAGAATATTATGAAGGACTTAGTATCAGTGTAGATGACAATAATGAATTTGCAAATATACTACACAATACATGGAACATATGATTATGATTGGTTTAAAAGTTGGAAAATTAGCCATCAACATATTATCAATATTTTTTTGTTTATTTTTTGAAATTTTTAATCTTTCATAAATGGGAGCTGAAATATAAGAAAAAGTTATTTACACTTGTAAATGGATTATATGGAAAAAAATGCTTTTTCTTTTCATTTGTATGGGTTACAAGTATTTTGAAAAAGACAAAATTTGTAATCAACTGATAATCCAAGTTCACAGTCATGTTGTTGATCTTACCAATTAATAAGATGAATGGCATTTGTTGCCATCCCTTCATGAAATTGTGTCATATAATTTTTTCAATCTGTCAGTCATCTTTGTTCTAGGCATTAAGGTCAAATTTCTATAAATGGTTGCAAATGATATTTAAAAGTCTTGTTTTCAAAACAAATGCGTTTCTGATTCTTCTGGAATTTTTGTCTTATAATGCAGTTCATTTTAGAAAGAAAACTGAATGAGAAAATAAGATAGCAACATTTTGAAACACTTTTTAATGTTAAACGTTGATTTCCTTTACACACTGTTGATTTATGTCAAAATATTTTTTCTGCAAAATTATAAATCTCACAAGCTTTTTTACACATTTTAAAACATTCCTTTATATTTGTTATGCTTTTAGTAAGAAATTTATATTAAAGCACTGTGATAAAACATTGACCATGTATATTTGTATATTGTTATTCTTTTATTCAATATTATTGTAGATGATTGTGGTCATATTTCATGCTTAACAAAAACTCAACATTAGGATTGTATAGTTTATATAATGTTTTGTGCTTTTTGCGAGAAATATTGTAGTTATGGGTTTTTTTTTTTACACTAACTGCTGATGGAGACCATTTTACTATCATTGGTGAATAAATTTCATTCAATTGGACAAATTATTATCTGTAAATAAGTATGATTTATTTATATTCTTATGGTGATTAAATATGAATCTGGACAGTGTCAAAAAGTAGAATAACAAAAATACCGAACTCCAAGGGAAATTCAAAACCGAAATTCCTTTGATTTTGATTTAGTTGTACAACCATGATTTACCCATAACCCTGATTCATATACTTAGTTATATGAAAGTATCAAGATTTTTTTTTTGGTAAAGATACAAAATAACCATAGAGTTTTGATAATAGTTTTATTCTTTAAATCTGCATATTTCTGGATTGTTTTATAACAAATATATATGATGTAAATTGAGTTGATCTCCCCTGATTTAAATAGTTTTTCATTCATTTCTATATAGACAAAGTTCACAAATTTGGTTCTTTAGTACAAAATTAACATTGTTTTTGGTTTTATTTAGCAATTCCATTTTAAATTTTACATTTTCAGATTGGTTGGGATTTCCTGATTATGATTTTTTCCAGTGTCTAATTCCTAAAAATGCTCATCGTTACAGCAAAAACAAAATATGTTTGAACTTCTTTTCTTGCATATGAATTCAGAAAAAAAATGTCAAATATTGGAATTAGAATTGCTTAGGCTTACTAATGTCAATCTGGGTAGTTTCGCCTAAATCAAGTAAATATTGATTCCAATACCTAAAAAATTGTGGAATAGCTCCCAAAACCTATATATTTTTTTGATGCGACTGCTAAAAGAGGGTCTATATGGGGTTTACAGAATAGAGATAAATGGACCAAAATATTGTAGAATAGAGAAAAATGAAACCAAAATAATGAAGAATAGAGAATAATGAGGTGCTAAAATAGAAAGAATTGAAAATAAAGGACCACAAATATAAAGAATAGAGAAAAATGGGCTAAAAAATTAAAGAACACAGAAATGAAGGACAACCCATCCTCACCCTCTTAAAATTTTAGAGTTTTTTGTAAGTTATATAGAATGAATTGACCAGTTGCAAGACAGTTGGTTAAAACATGAATGGTTGATGCTGTTAAAAGAAATCCATTTTCAAACTATAGTCTGTTTAAGACTAGATTTGTATACATTTAATTGTGATTATGTTATATATATATATATACCTCTTGGGATTTTCTATTGATGTAGTTAATTTTTTATGCTACTTATTTTCTGTTTTGTTTGTTTTACATTCCGTCCAATAAGGATCATTGATTAGAAAATGTAGGCTAAGAACAGAAGGTCATAAGTCATAACAGACAGCCAACATTGTTTTGTCAAATAAGTCATGTTTTACAGTACTCCCTTACATATGTATGCTTTTGTGCAACTGATAAAATCTTAAAAAGTATTTTGTAAGATTTTTTTAAAGCTGCTGACTTTTGATATAAAAAATGTTCAATTGTAATTTGTAATCTTATTATGTTTGTTCTTTTAAAAGAGAAATCTTTATATCTGATGGAATAACTTTAAAAAAAAACTTGGCCAGCTTTTAAGAAAAATAGTTATTTTTGATTTTGAATTTTAGTTAAATCTAACTTGAATATATTTACTAACTTTTTTAAATACAATCACAAGGCTGTCAAATGTCTGACAAATATTTTCAGGTGAATTATTATTATGTCCCAGCTTACTAAAGTACAAGTAATTGTTTTGTCTGTTTGTCTGTGTCTTTGTTAGTTTGTTTGTTCGTCCATGTTTAATTTGAAATTGCAACTTCTTTATTATGAACTCTATTTAATTGAACCTTAAATAGAATCTTTAAGTTCTAATGGCATTGTGTACCTGTTATTTTATTTTTTTATCCAAATTATTTATTGGGTTCCCCATCGCAAAATATGGACTTGTTTATATCTACAAAAGGGTAACCAACTTGTATCTACAAATATCTGATTTTAATGAAACTTTGAATACAATCTTCCTTACATAATACCATTGTTCAACCCCTATTCTTTTTCAATCTAAATAAAATGTATTTTAGGGGTTGTATGCAGTAAAATATGGAATTTTCCTGATCTAAACAAATGGAGGAAAGGGGATATGTATTTATGAGCTGTGAGTAACAGCTTTGTTTAGTTTTTAAATTGAACTCAATGGAAAATTAAAAGGTTAAGAAAACAGGTAATTAGAAATGAAAATTTCTTCAATTTCTTTATATTCAAAAGTGGTCATAAAGTTTTTGATATACAGTGAAATGAAATTAGATGAACTAGAATATTGTATACACTTATGTAGCTTTTGTTCTCAGATCTGACTTTTCTTGTTTTATATATTTATTTTACATGTGTTGCAAATTAAATATAACTAATTTACAGAATAATTCTTTGTTTTTATTACATAAATGATTTAAAGATTTGTAAGTGTTTTGAGATTTATGGAGTCACTGCTGTTTAAAGATCAATTTATTCCAAATATAACACGGATTTGAGGATATGCATTTTGTATGAGTAATGGCCAAATCATTATGTTTATAGTCTGTTTGCCAATTCAGTGTTTGACCCTGAAATAAGAATTTTTATCGAGCCTGTGAAATTTATTTCGCAAAAGAGAGATATAGTGATCCTAGATTCCGTCGGCATCGTCGGTGGCCTCAACATTTTGGTTTAGTCTGATGTTAAAGTTTTTGTAGACATCGATAACTTTGTCACACCTTCATGTAATTTTATGAAATTTGGACAGTAGCTTCTTTATGACCAAAAGACAGTATCAAGAGAGAAATTTTTAAAATGTTTATTTTCATTTTCCCGTATTTTACTGATAAATAGACTTAGTTTTTTTTACAGTTAACATTCAGATTTAGTCTGAGGTTAAAGTTTTTCAGTCATCCATAATTTTGTCAAACCTACATGGAATTTTATGAAATTTGGACAGATGTTTTTTGTTTATGACCAAAAGACAGTATCCAGAGTGAAATTTTGAAAATGTTTATTTTCATTTTTCTGTATTTTACTGATAAATGGACTTAGTTTTTTACAGATAACAAGTAGATACAGTCTGGGGTCAAAGTTTGTTACAAATCAAGTACTTTGTCGAACCTACATAGAGTTTTATGAAACTTTGGCAGAATCTTTTTAATGATTAAGAGATATAATGTCTGAAGCAAACCTTTGAAAAAATATTTTTTCCATTTTAGTATTTTTCTGATAGATTGACTTTGTTTTTTACAATTAACATTTACAGTCTGGGATTAAATTTTTTTGACATGATAAGTTTGTAAACCTTCATGGAATGTTATGAAACTTGGACAGAAGATAATCTTCAAAAACAAGAAATAGCTTCTAAAGAAAAAGTTTGATTTTTTTTTTTAATTCTGTATTTTACTGATAAAGTCAACATTATACTTTTACACTGACAGCAGCAATCACAGGTGAAACACAGGGTCTGCAGAACCCCTTACAAATTTTTATTTCAAACAGGGCTTTAAAAGGTTTTTTAGAATATGTAACTTCCTTATACATTGCTTTTTATTGAGATAAAATTTATCTAAGGGTGTATGATCTTATTTGTTAAATGAAGTCTCCCCTTTATTTCTAACCAAAGCTCAATGCAGACAGATGACATATTGTAAACCAACTGTTGAAGGCCGTACAGTAACCTATCATTTCTTACTTCTATATATAAGAACAGTACATAATACATCAAAGGGATAACAGGAATCACCATAATACTGGACAGTACAACAGACCACATCAACCACCAACAAAAAAGATATTTATGAGGGTGTGGATGGGGTTTTATAGAATAGAGAATAATGGGCAAAAAGTGCAGAATAAAGGGCAAAAAGTATAAAGATTAGAGAAAAATAGGCGAAAAAATAAAGAATGGAGAATAATGGGGTGCTAAAATATAAAGAATAGAGAAAAGCGGGCATAAAGTATAAAGAATGGAGAATAATGGGGTGCTAAAATATAAAGAATGGAGAATAATGCGCAAAATTTATAAAGAATAGAGAAAAATGGCTGAAAAAATTATAGAATACATAATTGAAGGACCTCCAATCCAGACCCTCATCTATTTGTTTTAGAGCTGAGCTCAAATAATATATTTGTTTTAGAGCTGAGCTCAGATAATATATTTGTTTTAGAGCTGAGCTCAGATAATATATTTGAAATTAACAGTTCCTGGACCTTGCAAATAAGGTATAACTTCAATGAACTATAGGGTTGAACTCTCACAGACATGTTTAACCCCACCCACCACATTAATTATGTGCCTGTCCCAAGTCAGGAGCCTCCAGTGGTTGTCGTTGGTTCATGTCTGTCATATTTGTTTTTCAGAAATTGTTATAAATAAGGCTGTTAGTTTTCCCGTTTGAATTGTTTCTCATTTTTCATATCTGGGCCTTTTATAGTCGACATGAGTTTTTCTCATTGTTGAAGGCCGTAAGGTGGCCTATAATTGCGGCATTTGCTTATATTTACTTCATTTGATAGTAGTCTCATTGGCATGCATGCAATCATATCACATCTCCTTATTTTGATATTAATCCAGAAATGCTGTTGCATTATGGGAACATTATTGTTTTGAATGTTTAGGAAAAGATTACCTTAGCTGCATTTGGCGAAACCTTTCCTCAATTCTCTACAACTGAGTACTTTATTTGGCCTTATAATTTTTTTTTATTGGAGTGTCACTGAGTCTTTTGTAGACCAAATGAGAATCTGCCTATAATATCATAAGCCTGGTATCTCTGATGATATTTTTTTACCAATTAACAGTATAAAAAAGTGAGAAGATACCAAGGGTGCAATACAAGACTATAAGTTGAAAAAGCTGAAAAACCATGACAGAAAGAATGAAAAAGCAAAACTACGTAGAAAACGTAAGTCTGAACCACACTAAAAACCAGGGGTGAACACAAAATAGCTCTGAAAAGGTAAGGAGTTTGTGCTATGCATCAAGGGGTACCTACCCTGTTGCTTATAATAAGAAAACATTTTGGTGATGTCATTTACAAAAAGGAATAGAATTGGGATTGTAGCTACAACAAATGGAACATAAAAGCAACATATATCTGTTCCAAAATGGTAAACAAAACTTTCAAAGATATAACTTCAACTTTACTATATTTGAAAACCTTGTTTCAATAGCTTCTTTTTTAACAAACCTTTATCATTTGGCAAGTGTGATGGGAAATTTATTTAAGCACTGAAATAGCTGTATCACATTGGATTTACTTCACCAACAGATGCTACAGGAATGTTGATACATAAAAGTCCACAATGAGAAAACTGAAGTCATCACTTTCGTCATAAAGTTTAGTTTCAACCAAATTTTTAACAGTCAAATTCTTTATGTAAGCCAAAATGATAAACAAACCAGCTAGACATTTCTGTATCTGATGTATTCTTTTTTTCAAGTTCAATGGTTTTCTAAAGAAAAAAATAATCTGATTCTTAATAGGAAGATAAAAAGATATTCCATAATCTATATATAGGAACATTTTGGGGAAAAAAAAAATTCAGTTTTAGTCAATTCTATGAAAAAATATATATATATTCTGGTTTTGGTGTAATTTTTACTTTTTTGAATATAAGTCAGAGTTTCTTACAAAATCCCAAGCACTACAAGAAATGCTTTAATAGATAATTTTTACATACCTAAGGGAGCTACCATTTGATTTTTATGGGGGGGCTAGGATGAAAAATTTTGTCCTGCCTTTTTATTATTCCTTCTATTAGGTCCTGCCTTTTTATTTTTCACTCTATTCGGTCCTGCCTTTTTTTTTTAGTTTATCCTGACTTTTTTATTTAACTAAATTGTCACCCTGCCTTTTTATTTTTGCAAATAATCTCATCCTGCCTTTTTTTTTTTTACTCAAAACTTCTTTCCTGCATATTTTTTTCAAATTTCATCCTAGCCCCCCCCCCATAAAAATCAAATGGTAGCTCCCTAACTTGCTTGCGAATTCAGTTCAGGGGAGTAGAGGGTGTTGGCTAACCCCCCTCCCCTCATTTCATAATTTTTTTTTCTAATGTGCTTATAGAATCATTGAAAATAAAATTATTTGCTGTTTCGACTTACCCCGGTATTCAGAAAAAAATTAATTTGGTTTGATTGTAGCTGAAAAAAGACATTAAAATGTGTTCATCTGTTGAAAATAAAGATGTCAAACCAATATAAAAAAGCATAACCCCTCTTGAAGCTAAATTCAAAATTTACAGTCCAACCTGAAATGTCTAAACTTTAATAAAAGCTGTTTTATAGGGTGTTATTAGCATTTACATTATATGCCTCTGTACGTTTTAGTGCTCTGTTCTCCAACATGTTCTGTTGATCTATAGACATGTCAGCAGACCCGGAAGTTACATAATTTATCTCCCCTGAAGAAGAAAATAATACACGTTCTTCTGTCAACAACTCCAACATGGCAGCCCCTGGTATACTTCCATCCCGGTATGTAAACGGGGTTCCCGTTCCCACATCAAGACGGACACTAAGAATGAAAGAGAAATACATTATCTTGTTGGTATTCGTCACATTTGGCACGGTTTGTTTTGGTGCTTTTATGTACCTACCAGATATGAGAGACCGAGCTCGCGTGGAATCACTTCGGGGACAATTTCGTGATGTTATAGTGCCACATCATGGAGGAAGTGGGAAAATTTTAGCACATGACAACAATGGTATTGATATCCATGCAATTAATGACAGAGTGCGATTGGGGGAAAAGATAGAAATGGACATGGCCGAACATAAAAGACTTGTAAAGGTTGGACAAAAATTGAACATGTCCAAAGATGATACACTTGGGTTCAAACAACACATTGAGAATGATAAAGAGAAAGTTCGACAACAGAAGAAGGAGGAGGAAGAAAGAAAGAGACAATCTGAGATGGAAAAGCTGAAGGAGATAAAGCAAGAACATCCTGGTGGAGAGGGAGCTCAAGGAGGTGCACCATCTGAAGAAGATGTTCTGGAAAAAAGAAATGCAGTCAAAGAGGTATACTGGAATATGTCATTTTGAGGAAAGCCCTTTATATTTCTCAAGTAATCGAAGTTTTAGAGATAGTGCTTCCTATCACTGTCAGGATTACTTTCATAATTTAGATGACTTGAAATTGTTCACTTTCCTGTAAATGTCACAATGCTTATGTTATTATGTCACAGTAAAAACCGATTGTTCAATGATGTTGTATAACGTCACGATACCCAAATTGCACCTATTTAACAAAAGTAGCAGCGGAAATCTTACAAGTTTTCTTAGAGACTAAACAATTTGTATTTTTATGATTTGACATTATGCACGTCTTTCAACATGCGGTAGGTAAATATATTTAAATATACACAAAACGTTCACAGTATACATCAACAGATGAAATGTTCACTGGTAAACAGGGCTCACGCTAGCAGGCCTGAAATATTACATTTTTTAATTGATAAATATTTTTAATCACTTACTTGGTAGTCATGTGTTAGGTATCTGGCCATAACTGTCATCTGCTTTACTACTGCTATATCTGTGGTCTCATCTATCAATAAGGAGAAGTATGGACTGTTGTGTATAGTCTGGAGTATGTTAGACTGAATGTGCTCGTTGATAATAAGTAGCATGTCTTGCATTATCCTATGACTGGTGTAGTTGACATTCTGTCCTTTCTTGAGAAGATTCAAGTAATCACACCCAAGTGTCTTTGCCAACTCCAGTAGGTATGGGTAGTGAGTTGTGTGTGCTATTTCTTCTTTTGCTAGCCAGTACATACATATGAAGGCACCAATCAATGCAGTAGTTTCTATTGAAGTATGGGTGTCCAGTGCTGCTTGAATACCTTGGCCCTGAAATGCTATAATGGAGCTAGCTTCTAAGTCTGTAGCTTGCTGGTGATTCTTTGATTTGCTGTGAGATGTTAAACTGTCTTTGACTAAGTAGGTGCAAGGATGGGTAACCCAGGTTCCACTGCCATTCTTAGGTCTCATGTTGAACTTGATACAGAACTTGCATAACATACCTGAGAATTTAAAATATATAATTTATTATAGAAGAAACAAAATTTTTTCAGTGAAATATCAATATTTCAAATAAAAATAATCATCTCAAAATTGCTTAAAAAACTCTCAATTACTAAATAAGTAACTATTCTTTCATTACAAAATATTCATCTAAAGACTTTATTTCTTTTATAAAAATCATGAAAAAAAATATCATTCAAGAGAAAAAATGTTCAACTCACTGTTCAAGTGAAAAGACTTTCTAGATAGAAAGTTGTATTTATATTTTTATATAAAAGGAATCCAGTGATAAGGAGATATAAAATTAATATAACTAAAAAATTTTTCTTAACCTTTAATCATTTTAAATATAAATATAGATTTCAAATTCATGTAAGTATTAACCTTTCTTGTCTTGGGTGACAATCAACCATGGGTTTGTCTTCTGCCCTCCTGGGTCTATACCAGATTGTCTTGCTTTTGAGTTTGGAGAAGGGCATGGGTTAGTGGTAGTTGTAATACTGTCGGGTTTCCCCAACCAACGAGTGAGGCTGTTGTCAACTGTCTTACGACGTTTTGCATTTGGCCCATACATCGTGATTTTTGATTTCCATCTTTCGAAATCGTATATTTATTACAAGGAAAGCATGTACCACGTGCTTCTTAAAAATTGAGAAATTTATAATTGTCAATTATCTGTAATGAGCCAACAATTTATTTAATATGTACAAAAATATTCCAGCGTGTGTACAACTATTGGCACTGTTTGTGTACAAAGTGTTTGCCGACTTGTCACAGGTCAGCGCTTGGGTGGTGAGCGAAGCCATAAAATAGTTACATGTGATTATAAAGTTAAGATTTCTTAATTAAAACACAAAAGAATCATGTAACAAGTGTTAATTACATCTATTGAATCCAATCAACAAGGTTAACCTCATAAGGTAAATTGATCACGTGGTGTAAACAATCTTTACTACTGAAGTAGAACTGGTTTGAATTGGATTGAACTGGTCAAATTTCACCTCGAATTTTATACCGCACGGAAAAGATTTAAAAAGTCGTTTAAAACTTTACCCATTTACGATTTTTTAATTGAAAATTTGAGCACCACAGGGAAAAATTATACATCATGGTAAGAACGATACCACCGCGGGAAAAAATTATACATGGCAGGCCCACGGTCCTGTAAGGGCCTGGGGAGAACACTGCAGGCGACTGGGGCGACAAAGTCGTTTTCCCGTCCGTCACTTTGCTTTGCATGACCGTCAAAACCATGATAAAAACTTCATTTTGACAAATTATCAAAAAATTCTATCAATTTTAATTAAGACGCCCCAGCCACCTTAATTGAATTTTAATTGATATAACAACTTTCTTTTCCTTTTTGATCATGTTGAAACAAGGAATTATTTGAATCTGGAATAATTTTGAATTCTGGAAAATTGATTATAAATGTATGATGAAAACTAACCCAACTAAATAGGGTTAGCCATGCGCGCATGGCTAAGGTTAATTTTACTTTCACTATCATTTCAGTATGAACTAACTAACCCCCCTTAGCCATGCGTGCATGACTAACCCTATTTAGTTGGGTTAGTTTTCCTCATAAATTCCTCATCAATTTTCCAGAATTCAAAATTATTCCAGATTCAAATAATTCCTTGTTTTGATATAAAAAAAATATTTTTTTATTATTGCCAGATATTTAATTGTTCTTTTCTGACAAGAGGACTAATATGATTCTGCAACTAGATATGATAAAATTAAACAACTTTGAATTTGAACTGTTACTTTAATTGTATTCCCAGGTACAAATTAAACAATATAAAAAATAAATAAGGTACATATGGCTCTTTGTTTTATAGTAAAAACCAAACATTGTAGCGCTGCCAGCAAAAGAGCACTTCTCTTTGAAATCTCACCACTTCTCCCTCTCAGTTTAAAAAAGAGAAGTCACTTCTCCCTATGATTCTGAAGTAGTGTGAGCCCTGGGTAAAGGAAAATGTACGGAAACGTCGCCATGCGACGTCCACAAAAAGGTCATCTTTTAAAAATGAGCAAATAAAATATGTTACAAGCCTCCATTTCCTAAAAGATGAAGAGTAAGCATAGATTAATCTCAAATTGTTCTAAATATTTGAAGAAATAAAACAAATTATCTGTAATTCGATTTTTGAGGATGTGAATTCAAGCATGGATGCAATTTGGGTACTCCTCATTACAGAATCATTGATTGTTTGAGGTCTGTTCATACCCATTTTTTTATGATTCAGTATGGATTCAAAATTAAATTGGTGGAACCATATAGCAAATAATGATACATCTACAAAATAAACACAGAATGGAAACTTTTTTTTGGATCATAAATAAACATAGGTGAAAAAACTGTCAAAATAGGTGCAATTTGGGTACCCTCACGTTACTCTGATGATCTAACATGAATATTAAAGTTTCTTACTATGTCAGTTTGAGGGGAACCACTGATAATATAAAATTTAATTATATTTGATGTGTATTTGTATCAGCACCCTCAGTCATCATGGTCATGGTACATTTTTATGTAGTGATTAAAACTTTAGAATACATGTATATATTTTTTGCAGTCTATATGTTACATGTAAAGTTTGTGATTAAGTTAGTTTGAGGGTGAAATTATGGCAAGTCAATGATATTTGGTATCCCCATGTATTATTTCTCGTTTCCACAGAGATTATACATCCCTGTCCCTTTAATCATGGTTCAAGAGTTGATTAAAGAGCTCAGGTAAGAAAAAATATGTCTGTTTTCAGTCCCCGACCGACCCTAACTTGAACGCAGACCCTAAATCATTTTACCCCCCAAAAGCCAGTAACCAAGGGAAATAATCCAATCATTGAAAATAAACACGGCCCAAGGACAAATTTAACCACAGCAAGACATTCCACATGACTCAAAATCATGTCACAAAAAATATAATGAAATGGAATTACCAACGTACCTACCCTATTTTTTTTTTATGTAACCTTATAAACAGACATATTTTTTTTGGCCTCATCAGTGCTCAAGTTTCTTGTTTATTGTGTACACATATGAAGACTTTAAATAAGATTTACTTACTTACTTCAATGACTTTGGATGTTTTGCATAGTTGACATGACTTTCAAGTTTGTGATTAGGTAAGTTTAAGTGAAACCATTTATAATAAATCAATAATATTTGGTATGCAGTTGTATTACCATTAGCATATCTAATTTCCACAGATGACTTTAGATTTTAGTTAACATGTTAGAGTATATGTGTTATTGCCGTTTTAATTTCAATATCAACGTTTGCATTTTACTATCAAAGTTACATCCAGGCGAGACATATCCAGATATCTATCTCTGTGTCTCAGTTTATTGTCATAATCATGGTACAAGTACATTTGTAGTTTGGATTAGTAGACTTTTTTCGTATTACCTATTCTTGACTCCAGAGTATATAATTTTTTTCGACAGGTTACCTACTTTAATAAGTAAGAGCAACAAAAAGAAGTAAAATCAAGCTTACAAATGTATCCCTAAATTGCATCAACTGTAAGTTTCATTTTTACTTCTTTCAATTGCTCTTACTCATGTTACTTGACAGAGTACCATATAATTTATATGCCATGATACCTGTATAATACATTTTTTAACTAAAATTTCAGATGATGAGACATGCTTGGGCTAGTTATAAGAAGCATGCCTGGGGTTCAAATGAATTAAGACCAATATCAAGGAGAGGACACAGTGCCAGTATATTTGGAACGCTTAATTTAGGTGCCACAATAGTTGATGCTGCTGATACATTGTATATCATGGAGATGATGGACGAATATAAAGTAGCAAGGGATTGGATTGCTGCAAATTTGAACTTTGAAGGAGTAAGTAACATGGGGTCAAGGTTTTTGAACTTCTTAATCTTCAGGAAAAAATTTACAACTTACAACCCTGATAATGTGTCAGTCATAATAATTCTTTAAAAATTATCACTTGGGAGAAGTCTTTTTTAGGAAAATTGTGCTGGCTGGATTAGGGATGGGGCTGATTTCTTCAAATAGTCATTGATTAAATTACAATTACTTGTCTAATGTAATGCAATCGATTTCATTACTATTACACCTAAAATCAAATAGTCATTGATTACATTAATTACTTTTCTTTAAAGTAATCATGATTACATTTGATGACACATGGTTACATTGGATTACACATGATTACTGCTTCATTCATATAAAAAATTCAAAATGGGAGTTTAAATTATTGCGATTACAAACCTGTCGCATTTTTTGCAGTAATAAAAACATTGCAATAATTTCCGAATTTACAGTTCATTGTATACTGTGATATAAAAGATTTTTTTTTAAACATTTTATCCCGACATAAAAAAGCTATATGAGATAAAAAATGTGTTTTTAATATCTTTGATCCATTTTCACTAGTACACAATTTTATTTAGGGGCCAGCTGAGGACCATCTCCGGGTGCGGGATTTTCTCGCTGCGTTGAAGACCCATTGGTGGCCTTCAGCTGTTGTCTGCTTTTTGGTCTTGTTGTTGTCTCTTTGACATATTCCCCATTTCCGTTCTCAATTGTATATGTACATGTATGTGTTATTAAAAGCTTATACCAGGAACAATGTTAAATGTGCATTGTATGATAGCATAGACAAATGGCCTTTCTCTCTCTAAGAAATAACATTGTTTTTATTGATATTTTAGCCCAGTGCAAATTTTCAATTAACAAAAACAACTGAAAAAAGAGTGATCTATTAATGATCAAGTAGTCTTATTGTCTGTAGGGACATAATTAACATTTACATATGTTTTCTGGTGTAATCATTACTTCAAATTAAAAAAAAAAAAATAGGTGAGCTTGAGTAATTGGGTAATAAACATGAATTATATTGATATCAATAACTTGAATAAGGTTATATGTATATAAATAAGAAGATTTGGTATAGTTGTCAATGAGACAGTTCTCCACCAGAGACCTAATGACATAGAAGTTAACAGCCATAGGTCACCGTATGGTCTTCATCTATGAGCAAAACCCATACCACATAGTCTGCTATAAAAGGCCTCGAAATGACAAATGAAAAATAACTCAAAAGAGAAAACTAATAGCCTGATTTATGTAGATTATTATTTTCATTGTACCCATGATTTTATGCAAAAAATCAATACAATGTATTGGATATTTAGAAAACATATATTAAAATGTTTATATGGAAATCAATATTTATACAAGTTGTTGGAAAAAATTGCTTTTATATTCCATTATTATTTAAATGTGCTCATTTATGTTGATCATCAAAATTAGAATTGAAATTGAAATCCCCAAATTAATTTTCTATGCTGTTGAATGTCTACGTAATTTTAACAAAGTATTGTGTAAACTTTAAGTCTGATTCTATACTTGGAGATACTATCAGAAGTTTTCTATTAGGGAACACAAAATGTTTTCAAAGCAGACATACATGTATTACATTTAAATTATTCATTCTCAAAATGAAACATTTGGAAAGGTAAATTAATTTAGTGAACTATAAATACTGTAAATTCAGAAATTATTGCATGATTTTATTATTGCGATTTTGTCATTTTAGACTAAAATGCGATTCTAATTTTAGCGGTATTGAAAACAATCCTATTTAATTCATATAAAATATTACAAAATGCGGGTTTAAATTACTGCGATTATAACCCTGTCGCATTTTTCGCAATAATAAAAACAGTGCAATAATTTCTGAATTTACATTACATGTACTAAAATGATTAAATAATAAATAGGATCCATCAAAGTACACTTATGTGATTATTTTTTTTATTCATGCTTGTAATGTATATATAAAAATATTTAAAACAATTTTCATATAAAAAAATTGAAATAAGTAATTAATCACATGAATTTAATCTAAAAGTAATCATGATAACACTTTTTTTTTGAACTGTAATCGATTTTATCTCAGTAACTTGTAATAAAAAATTGTGTGATTAGTGATTACATGTGATTATATTGCAAAATGTAATCAATTACAGCTGATTATGATTTACCCATGCCTGGGGTGGACAACATTTTTACTGGATTAGGCTGTATTGATTGATTGATTGTGTCTAATGCCACTTTCAGCACTATTGTGCTATTTTTAGGCAGTCAGTTTTATTGGTGGAGGAAGCCAGAGTGCTGAGAGAGAACCACCAACCTTCGGTTGGAAAACTGACAATCCTAGTCAATTAAGATTGGAGTCAAACGCACCTTCCACGTTCAGGAATCAAACCCACAACCTCAGTGTTGACAGAAACAACCATGTCAAATGGCTTCATACATTTTCAATAATCCTTTTGTATACTAAAAATTTAGAAATTATTGCATGCATTAATTATTGCGATTTTTGAAAAATTGACAAAAATGCAAGATTAATAATTGCGAATTCAAGGAAATATGTATAAAGATATATGTACCAAACATCCGAATGCAAGTGCTTATTATTGGGATACTCACATTGTACTCCTTAATAAAAACCACATTGTACTCCTTAATAAAAACCTTGCAATAATTTCTTAATTTACAGTATTCTAGACTAATTAGGCTTAATAATTGTATGTGATAACTTTTAGTGTTCGATCAATCATGTTTATCTAATATTCTTTATAGTGTACATGTATAGTTAGGCAAATGTATTTTTAGCATAAAAAACTTGTCTAAGAAAGTACATTTTAACATATGTGGAATGTAGTTATATCTTATAAATCTATAAAATATTTTGAAAAAAATACCACAAAAAATGAAAATGTAAACTCCTCCAAGCATAGAAATCATGTTTGACTAATGTTGATATAGATTTTTATGACACAACATGTAAGTATAACTTGCACAAACTTCAAATGCAGTTATTTGTAAATATAGTGTGCCCTCTTATTATAGTTAAAGGGTCCCTACTTCTCTTGATAAAATTAACTATTACTAAAAAATGAATTTTTAACAATATTTGATTTTAATAAGAATGCTGACTATAAAGATTTCACTATCTTTTCTTAACCACAAGCACAGAATTATTTCTTTGTTCACATCAGTCTAAATAAACCGGTACATGTACATGTATTGTCTATATTAAACTTAGAAGCAATTTCAAAAGTAAATAGTTTTGGCCAAAAGCTATGTTTGATTTGATGTAACTGTGAAATTGATGATAAAAAAACTTGGTTTCAGTTGCCGAAATGTATTTTTAACCAAATCATTGACACAATATATAAACATGTATATCATACCACATCTTCTTATTTTATATAGTAGTTATTTCTTATGTACATAATCATCAAATAGATATATTCTTCAGCTGAACAAAAAGTCTTTTTTTTTTGTCACAGTTAGGCTATATATACATGTACATTAACAACACCATTTTGAATTTCTTGTCATAGCAGAGCCTGGGTTTTAGGTAGTTGTGTACATATACAGGTACATGTAGTACAATGTAGGCGCAAAGCTGCACTTCAGAATCATTTCAGTAATCTGGCAAAATGTAAAGGTGTGCTTGATTTATGTGTACAGTACATACACACAGGGTGATTCAGTTGAAAATCACTTGCTGATGATGATTCCCTGTTGAATAGGGCGATCGTTGGTGACAGCACACTGATTTACTACTTTGTTAAACAGGGTGTTTGTTATGTATATTTATTAGAAATATATTATTATTATATATTTATGGTTATATTACATCTATATTTCTAACCTCTGTTATGATACCTATAGGAAATATAGTGAGATATTTCAGAATTAAGTTCAATGTTCCTCGAAATCACCATCACTCACCAGCAGGAATAAGTAATTTTGAACTGAATCCCCATGTGTGTCATCTCGCTAGCCAAGGGGTTACAATCCAGTCCCTTGGCGAGGATGGGACATAACCCTTGACTTGCTAAGATGCTTGTGTGTGCTATACTAAGAGAAGGTCAGCTCAGTCACACAGTTTTTTTATGCCTCTGCTGCCGTGGAGGGATTATTAAGTTTTACCCTTGTCCGTACATCCGTCTGTATGTGCCATTAATAAGTTTCCATTCTCTAACTTTAGTTTGTTTCAGCCAAATATTATGAAACTTATAGACAATGCTTATTATAACCAAACACAGATCAGGTTTAAATTTAGGTGGCATCATTTTCACCGTTCTCGAGTTATGTTCCTTTATAAATGGAAAAATTTACCTTGTCTATACCAAATGTTAGGAAACTTATACACAATACTAACTACCACCAAATACAGATCAAGTTCAAATTTAGGTGGTGTCACTTTTACTGTTTTCAATTTATGGCCCTATATGAATTTTATAATAAATAAAAATGTTTTCAATTGACTTTAATAATGCATACAGTGTATAGACAATAGACACTGACTAACTCTGTCATTGACAAGGGTTTTCCTCTTTACCCTTGCAGCACAGTTTGACCATGAATTTTTGTCATCCGAGGTACACTTTCTCAGATCAGTAGATATAGATGTTTATGATTATGAGTAATTATGGTTTCCCCCTACGTCCATAATAAGCTCACAGCACACTTATGAAGTTGAAAATGTTAATGTGACTATACATGTACAGGTATCAAATTAACTCTAGAATTTTCTAGTATTAAAGATGTCATAATGTTAAACATTGTTAAATTATTGACTAAATGCCATCACATCAAAACACTGTATTAAAATGAAAAAGGTCAGCAAATTATCAAATTCTCTTCATGTGATTATTGGTAATTATCACTTGCTCAACACTATGTCAATTGTTGTTCTCACTTATGATATATTTATTACTGTTTAGTATTTTAACGTTTTGGTCAAATTAAAGAATGAAAATTAGCAAAATACAATTCAAAGTTTTGCCTGAACA